CTTGTGAACCTTAGTGGAGCTCAAGACCAAGAAAGGCCCTTTTGTTGTGTGTACTCAGGTGCAAGCCTGCCAACTGTGGTCCTTGCTACAGACCTGGACTTTTTCTGCAAACAGTACATCCACCAAGGGCCTGAGAGGAGTCACACCAATCTGCTGTGGGTAGCAGGCCCTCCAACCTTGGTCTGGCTATTGACACTGTGTCAGCCTGTTATTTGGCTCCAGTCCCTTTCACCTGAAGAGCAAGTCTGATCCAGCCAGCCCAGGAATCTGCTGGGAGTCATGCCTGCCTATATCTGCAGCAGCAGTCATATGATCTGGCTCCTGTCACGTGCAACTACAGTACCAGAGCAATCCCATCATCTCAATACCCAACCAGAGAAGGTCTTCACTAACCAAACTACACCCACTTCTGTAAGAACTTAGCACACCACAGATGTGGCTTCATAAATCAGTCAGGAAAAGGATGGTTCTTTTAGTAGATGGAACTGGGAAAAAAAAAAGACTCATAATATGGAGAAAAACAATATGGGATCCCTATAGCATGTCACATACCAAAATGACTTCTCATGGAGTAAAGTTCAAAACATGAAAAACAAAGGTATAAAATTAATATAAATCAATGTAAAGGATACTTTCATACCTTTTCTAAGGCCCCTAAACCTAAATCATAATAGAATAATTAATGTATTTCACTGTATCAAAAACAAAGATTTCTGATCAACTGGACGATACAGATGTAGTTAATGGCATAGGTGGCTGAAAATATTGGCAATATTTAAAATTAGTAAGATAAATATCTAGACTATGTAAGGAACCTCTGGCACATCAACACAAATAGATAATATATCAAACCCCTCCTTAGAATGGAATGTCTGTATTACTAAAAAGGTACATGGATAAAAATATATATGAAAGGAAATTGTTTAAAGATGATGACAATTAGAAAAATACAGTTTGAAATAAAGAAATGCCACTTTATGCTCAACTGATTCAGACAGATTAGGAAGCCTGGTAACATCAAGCGTTGGTGAGTGGTTGACTGATGGGCACCTTCATGTACTGCCACTGAAAGTGCAAACTAGTACCGTTGCTTTGGGACAGTTGAGTAGAACTTCAGGAAAACAAATTATACCCTAGCCCAGCAATCTCACTCTTGTGGGTATATTCACCCTGCAGACATGGAAAAGGCATGTGGTTACAAATAATTGGATCCTATTGTGCAAGGGAACTGGATGATTAGAGCATTAGAATGAGACGCATCGGTGAGAAACAATGGCTCAGACATACTTCCAACTACAGAATAGTGCTTGAAAAACTATGGCTGTTGAAAAGAAAAAATCAAGAGATCTACAGTAGCACATTATTTATGCAAACTTAAACTACTTCTGTAAAAAAAGACATGACTTTTTTTCAAACTTCAAATTTATCTAAAGACACATTAAATCCATTAGAGTGAACGCCTGTAGCTGAGTAGCAAAGAAGTGGGAAAAGGATAGGGACAAATGTAATAATGTAGAAATAAGAGAGGGAACTTGAATAAACTAGTGATGATAACACACCACAGTGGTAGTAGTATGATTAGTTCAACTCTATTTCCCTTCCTTTTATCCACAAAAAAGAAAAAACAAGGTCAGAAGTATACACATTCACAATTCATCCAAGGAAAAGTCACTCAGTATTGAATTTTTATCTTTCTATTTGAGTACAGAACAACACTGACCATTTAAGGTTACTGTTTTATGTAAAATTTTAATATTAAAATTAACAAAATCTAGTGATAGGTAGAAAATTCAGTGATATCTCTGAATTCACATCAGTTTATTATGCTGCTATTTAAAATTTTTTAAATTAAAATTTAAGAAAATAAGTTGCTAAAATTAAGTGAGCCAGAAATGAAATTTTGTAATACTCTTACCTGAATGTGACTCTGCTCTATATTTCTCCTTTGGAAAACAAATTTATAAATTCTTCTACAAGTTTAGAGTCTTTGTTCCTCTAGAATATTTTAACGTTTGTTAGATTTTCATTTGTTTCTAAACAAATTAGCAAATTACCTTGAAAAATTATAATTAGAAAACAACATAAATCTTTTTCATGGGTAAAATATTCACAAAATAAAAATCAATACTTTTAACTATTTTTAAGTGTACAGTCTGTTTTCTATGAGTCTGTTTTGTAAATAATTTAATTTGTATCATTTTTTATTTATCTTAATTTGTATCATATTTTAATATTCCAAATATATCTGATATCATGTGGTATTTATCTTTGTCTGTTTGACTTACTTCACTCCATATAGATAATCTCTCACTTTAGAGAAATCAGCTGATAGACTTGTGGGGGTTCTTTTGTAACTAACTCTTTGTTTTTCTCATGCTGTCTTTAGTATCCTCTCCTTAACTTTTGCCATTTTAATTATAATGTCTTAGTGTGGACCCGTTTGGGTTCATCTTGTTTGAGACCCTCTGTGCTTCCTATACATGGATATCTGATCTGTTTCCTTCTTTAGGTTTGGGAAGTTTTTAGGCAGAGTTTCTTCAAACACATTTTTCTTATTTTTTTTTTTTTAATTTAATTTTTTTTATTAGGAAAAATGCCCTATTTTATAGATCACCATTTATGAGAATCCTACCAAAGCACTACAACAAACTGGCCTTGAAGAGAAACACCACAATGACAGAAAACTCAAAATACTGTGTCTTTGAGGAGCCTGCAACCAGGCTAATTGAAAATCTACACACAACTCCCACCACACCACACACAAGTATGAACAGGTTATATAAGTAAGCCAAGATTTAGAAAACACAGTGGAAGAGGAGGAACACACCCACACATGTATCTGTGTGCATGTTTTCCTTAAAAACATGTAACAGGGTTTCATTTTACTCAAACACATTTTTAATCCCCCTTTTCCTTTCTTCTGGGGTTCTATTGGTCTGAACAAGCTTATAGTTATCAAAGGGGAAAGTTTGGGATGGGCTTGTGGGGAGTGATAAATTAAGAGTTTTGGATTAGATACAAACTACTATATATAAAATAGATAAATAATAATGCTCTACTGTATAGCACAGGGAACTATATTCAGTATCTTAAACTAAAATGGGAAAGAATAAGGACAAGCATATATACACAGACACCTACATATAACTGAATCACTTTGCTATACACCAGAAATTAACCATTGTAAATCAACAATGATTAAATATTTTAAATCAGATTTTAAAGTGTTATACATAGATATGTATACTATACAAACTTATGTATTCATAAATTCTATATGTAATTTACCTTTCTATACACATAGTCAGTTAACATTTGCCTCCCTCACTAGATTTTGAGTTGATGAAATGACAATTAGTTTACCCTTGTAAACCTAACAACACTGTGCCTGGACATAATAAATACTAAAGTTTTAATTGAAGGAATAAGTAAATGGAAAACAACATAGCTTGTTTTTCTGTCCAAATTCTTAAATACAGAATTTACTGTTCATACAAATACTCTCTGGGTGATTACTGAAAAAGTGATTTTACATACATACATGTTGCAAAAATAGTATGATTTCTTAACATACCCATTATCCTGGGGTTTATGCTAGATTTTCCATCTTGCTTATCTAAAACTTCTTTCTCCAACAGTGAGAAACTTGGCTTTCACTCTCCATCAATGTTAATAACTATTTCTGATACTGATAGACTTCTTAGAATTAAGACAGTGAGGCCACTGTAACTAGATATACTTAAGTAGAGGCCAAATGATCATCTTTCAAATATTAAGTTGTGAAAGTAATTCTACATGGAGAACAATTATATGTTTTTATGATTTGTTACAAGTCATGCTCTAAAATCTAGGGTTGTTTAAAGAGATATATTCTACAAAATGAAGGCGGATGAAGTAGCATAAAATGTTATCCTCCCCCTACATCTCACATTCAGGTTTCACATTTATCAAATTAGTGATATTTGATATCAACAAATTAGTGTTGATGGAGTGTGTATGTGTCAATATACATAAATGTTTATATAAAGACTTAATATTTATATATATAAATATATATCTGTGTATAAAATATGTAAATCTGTGTATCACTGAGAGACACAAGAATGTGACAATGAAAATACTTTGCCTCTATCTTGGGTCCACAATGACTATATACTGAGCTCCTATAGGTTAAAGATTAAATTCTTAAATGCAAAATTTTAAATACCTATTCACATTTTTTCACTAAATCAGTAGCCTATCAATATATGCATATTTTGAAATGGTATTCTAATTCTAGATTTTGGAAGAAAATCTAAATATATGAGTATTATTTCATTTAGTTTTTTTTTTTTTTCAGACTTTATTTATTTATTTATTTATTTTTGTGGTTTTTGTCATACATTGAAATGAATTAGCCATGGATTTCTGTTTTGAAATGAAATTGAAAGATAAGGAACCAAAATTTTATTAATAATATTTAGAAATATTAGAAGCTGATAAAAATATTCAAAAAATAAATAAAAGAAACCTTCACATAAAAACAGACACTTGATTAGATAATAAACAGTCCTGAAAATTCATCCATCTCAGGGCCAAAAGAGAGAGCAAGGCAACAATAAAGATATTGGACTACTAACTCAATCAATACTTACAAGGTTTTTTCTTCTTATTCTTTTCAATGTTCCTTTAAAAATTAATACCAATTAAATGATATTAATAACATTCCTACACAGAATAAATTCTTTGAATTTACAAATAATATCTTTTTTAGTTCAGTTAAAAAGCTAACAGTATGATTTGTAGTCTTACTAGGTTTAATAAATATTATATAAAGACTTTGCTCTGATATCTTCAATGAATTTTCAGTTTAATACAAAAAAACTACAAGACTTTTTTCTAAATTCATTTCCTCTATCTGGAAGTGTAACAAAGGTATGGAGGTGACTTTTTTCTACATAGTATCATAAAGAAAAGATTTGCAAATAGTTGACACAAATAATTAAGACCTTATCAAAGCATTCGGAGGAAAGATTTCATTTAATTGCTTTTATACCACACCAGAAGGCATTACAGGGACATGAATGAATTGAAGCAAGGTAGAATTTCGACAAACAGCTCCTTTCTTAACATCAGCAACAGTGGCTATGATCTCAAAGAGTTTCAAATGTGTTCCAGATGGTAAAGAAGAGTTCTGAAAATAAACCAAGTTACTATATTTTTCATTTAATTGAACCTCTAATATATACATAAGCATTTCTTTCAGTTTTGTATATTTCTCATCACTAGAGTAAATTTTACACTAATTGCATAGCATTTTTCAAAATATTATCTGGAGCTTTTGGTTTTCAAAATCAATTATCTTTGTCTCAATGCTAGAAAGTTTATTTTAGCTGAACATTGACAAAAACTTCCTTCTTAAGCAAAATTTAGTTTGGTTCCTCTAAGACTTCTTTTCAACTAGGCTTCATGCTTGGCCCTGTCCTTGGTCTGCCTTTGGCAAGAAGACTGTTAGGCTTGTTTAGCAGGAATCCCCCACACTTGATGCTGCCTCTTAGTAATGTCACATCTGCTCACTCACTCACTCTGCTCATTGGCCATAAATACCAGCTGTTTCTGCTATATTTGGAGTTGAGTTCAGCCTTCCTCCGTTATCACAATAGTTTCAAATAGTTTTCATTACCATTTTAAACAAATGTCAGAATAATTCTTTTAAACAACATTGTAAAGCTGGGTATTATGGACTATGACTTTGTAATGGGATATATGTGCTCAGTCACTCATTTATGTCTGACTCTCTGTGGGCCCGTGGATCGTAGCCCACCAGGCTACTCTGTCCATGGAATTTTCCGGGCAAGTATACTGGAGTGTGTTGCCATTTCGTTCTCCTAAATGGGATATATACTAGAGATTAAAATCATGGACTTTATATACAGTCCAGTTTTATGGGTTTCCCTCTCTTTGCTTCTAATGTGCTCTACAATCTTGAACAATTTAAATGAGCTTCTGACCTTGATCCTTGATGAATACATGCTTTGAACTGATAGACTTAACCTATGAGACCATATGAACACAAGAGTCATTCATACATAGTTCTACCACTCTGACCCATGTCCAAACTGAAAGGTCTTGTACTTCTGTCCTCCTAAGATATGAATTATGCTTGTGCTTTGCAGAACTGAACATGTTGATTGTGGGCACATAGCCCGTAGCTTTCCATCTGCTACTCAGTCACCTGACTGGCTGTCAGGAAAGTGATAGGAGGGTAGGAAAGATATGGGAGAGAGAACAGTCACAATGCTTTTTCTCTTCCCAGTCTGCGGGTTCAGAGAGAGCAGTCTATTTCTCAGTGAAACTCTTGGTTGTGGGTTTCTGCCATTCAGTTAAGCAATGATAGACTTCAAAGTGTTGGGCAGTTGCATGCACCAGGATTTCACTCAAGAAGCTATCAATACCCTTATTCACTGGCCCAGTGATTCAGCCATTTTTGTTGAAAATACAAATCCTATAAATTAGTTACCACCACACCCTATTCCTTTTTCTTTTTCAATGATCCTTCAGATGTTGGGAGTTTGATCTCTGGTTCCTCTGCCTTTTCTAAATCCAGCTTGAACATCTGGAAGTTCACGGTTCATGTACTGTTGAAGCCTGGCTTGGAGAATTTTGAGCATTACTTTACTACCATGTGAGATAAGTGCAATTGTGCGGTAGTCTGAGCACTCTTTGGCATTGCCTTTCTTTGGGACTGGAATGAAAACCGACATTTTCCAGTCCTGTGGCCACTGCTAAGTTTTCCAAATTTACTGGCATGTTGAGTGCAGCACTTTCACAGCATCACCTTTTAGGATTTGAAATAGCTCTACTGGAATTCCATCACCTCCACTAGATTTGTTCATAGTGATGCTTCCTAAGGCCCTCTTGACTTCATATTCCAGGATGTCCGGCTCTAGGTGAGTGATCACAACATCGTGGTTATCTGGGTTGTGAAGATCTTTTTTGTAGAGCTCTTCTGTGTATTCTTGCTACCTCTTCTTAATATCTTCTGCTTCTGTTAGGTCCATACCATTTCTGTCCTTTATTTTGCCCATCTTTGCATGAAATGTTCCTTTGTTATCTATAATTTTGTTGAAGAAATCTCTAGTCTTTCCCATTCTATTGTTTTCCTCTGTTTCTTTGCACTGATCACTGAGGAAGGCTTTCTTACCTCTCCTTGCTATTCTTTGGAACTCTGCATTCAAATGGGTATATCTTTCCTTTTCTCCTTTGCCTTTTGCTTCTATCCTTTTCATAGCTGTTTATAAGACCTCCTCAGACAACCATTTGCCTTTCTTTTTATTGGGGACAGTCTTGATCCCTGCCTCCTGTACAATATCTCAAACCTCCATGCACAGTTCTTCAGGCACTGTGTCGATCAGATCTAATCCCTTGAATCTATTTGTCACTTCCACTGTATAGTCGTAAGGCATTTGATTTAGGTCGTACATGAATGATCTAGTGGTTTTCCCTACTTTCTTTAAGTCTGAATTTGGCAATAAGGAGTTCATGATCTGAGCCACAGTCAGCTCTCGGTCTTGTTTTTGCTGACTGTATAGAGCTTCTCCATCTTTTGCTGCAAAGAATATAATCAATATGATTTTGGTATTGACCATCTGGTGATGTCCATGTGTAGAGCCTTTTCTTGTGTTGTTAGAAGATCAAATTGCCAACATCTGTTGGATCATCATAAAAGCAAGAGAGTTTCAGAAAAAAAATNCTCTTGAGAGTCCCTTGGACTGCAAGGAGATCCAACCAGTCCATCCTGAAGGAGATCAGTCCTGGATGTTCATTGGAAGGACTGATGCTGAAGCTGAAACTCCAATACTTTGGGCACCTGATGCAAAGAGTTGACTCATTGGAAAAGACTCTGATGCTGGGAAAGATTGAAGGCGGGAGGAGAAGGGGATGACAGAGGATGAGATGGTTGGATGGCATCACTGACTCAACAGACATGAGTTTGAGGAAACTCTGGGAGTTGGTGATGGACAGGGAGGCCTGGCATGTTGCAGTCCATGGGGTTTCAAAAAGTCAGACACAACTAAGTGAATGAACTGATTGAATTGAATGTCCACACCCTATTTTAAAAGTCTATTTTATTTGCCACTGTGGTGTTCATTGACCTACAGAAGAACAAAATATATTGAGAACTTTCTTCTAAATCAGAAAACAAAATCACATGATTTCCTTGCCTCGGGAATCTAATTGTGTAATCAACTAGTGTCTAGGAAACTTCAAGTGAATATACTCTTTCTGTACCTGAAATCATTGCCCTGTGCAAAAAGTTAGCCACCAATATACAGAGGGGGAAATATATTCCTCAAACCATACCCCCCAAAAGTAAAGTAATCTCATGTTTTTCTTGAAAAGAAAAAGATTTTTGCCTTTCATTAAATACTAAGTTATCAAGTGGTTACATTTAGATTACTATGTGCTCTTGTTGATCTCTAATCTCCTGGACCAGCTAGCTCTAGGATACATTTTGTAACTAAATGTTTAGGACACTAACAATTTGACTTAGAGATTATGACAAACAGAAAATGAAATGCTGGAGATACTCTTACCAACTGAATAAGCTTCAACAGCATTTTTTTTTTCAATAGCATTTTTATGAACAAAAAATTACTCTTCTACTACCTTATGGGCAGAGCATGTTTACAAAGTTGATATTCTAATATACATAGGAAAACAGGCCTCACATCAACCTTTGGTTTAGGCAGTCCAGATCTGTCTTTAGAAGCATCATTTTTAGACTGACCATAGCAAAAAATGTATTCAAAAGACCAGAGAAATACTCTCTTGAGTCTTTTTCAGCTTACTTATAGCATTAATATAATCTCTAGTAAGTTTTTAAGTTTTGAGCGAATCACAATAAAAATCAAAGGAATTATTGGATTTCTAGAGGTTGTTAGATATTCATTCTCATAAGGGCACCCTGACTACTCGTTATCTGACTCTAAGAAGGGATGCTGCTGCTGCTGCTGCTGCTAAGTCACTTCAGTCGTGTCCGACTCTCTGCGACCCCGTGGACGGCAGCCTACCAGGCTCCCCCATCCCTGGGATTCTCCAGGCAAGAACACTGGAGTGGGTTGCCATTTCCTTCTCCAATGCGTGAAAGTGAAAAGTGAAAGTTAAGTAGCTCAGTCATGTCCAACTCTTAGCGACCCCATGGACCGCAGCCTACCAGTCTCCTCCATCCATGGGATTTTCCAGGCAAGAGTACTGGAGTGGGTTGCCATTGCCTTCTCTGCTAAGAAGGGATGAGACTTGCCTTAATTTTGAAGGCAACCAAAGCCTTCCAACAGCTGTAGATCCTTTGCTTTTGCCCACTAATCCTGGCCTAATTTGAGCTAATCAGAGTCTGTAGTTGAAACTGACATTGCTGCTCAATGTCATCCTGCCATTCTAAGAAGCATCACATCTTATCCAATAGCTCTGCTGAAATACTCTTCCTGCTCCTACTTCTCCCAGGAGATATGTTTAGTTGTACCTGTCATTAATCAGCAAAAAGGTTTCTTATATGTCACCTTATGGAGAGCTCACTGCCTTTCCAAGTCCTGATTGGTTGTTGGATCATTCATGAGTTGAGCTGTCCAATATAGAAGCCACAAACCACATATGGCTATTTAGATTTAAACTAATTAAAAGTAAATAAATCATTTCAAGGCTCAATGCTATCGGTATCTTATGGTCACACAGATTCAGGACAAATAGTGAGATCTTCATCTTCTTAAATCTTTCCATCAACAGTCAATGTTTAAGCAAATACAGACTTAAGAACATAAGCATCCTGTTTAATGTTGTTGTGAGCCTGAATTGGTTCTTTTCCTTTTCCAACAGTCAGGATTTAAACGTTTTTGTTCTTCAGCCAAAGCCTTTGCTTCTAATGTATACATCCTCCTCTCTTCATTCTTCATTTTCTTCCACCTGTCACCAAGGATCACACTTATGGCTCTGTTATCTTTCCCTGGATACATCTGAGTATATTCAACTCTATTTTTTGGCAAACAGCATGAAGGCATTCATTGGTCTTTTGCACTTGTTAGGAGAAGTGGCACTCACAGTCCCTGAGCCGTGGGTTTTGACAGCTTTAGCATACAAAGAACTGGGAGAGAGCTGCGACGACCCCGGCAAGCCACAGTTCTTATGGCTCAGCATCTGTGCCAAACATGGGGGCTCCTAGTCTGGCCGGTGCCAAGAGGCTGCCAGGACACAGGGCCGGTGGATGGTGTCGGTGCCAGCCTAAGAGCCACCTGCCTCGGCTCCTGGAGCATGCTGAGTTGGACACACCCACCCTTGACTTCAGTGGAGACCTAGCCCAGGCCAAGGTAAAGTTAGTTAATAGCATTGGGATATAGTCACTGTAACGGTGCTATTAACAGTTGACACCATTGTATTTTTAATTTTGTGTCCTATATCTCCTCAGCCACGTATCTTAATATTGTTATTTGTCATTGTATCTATGGTGGGGGCGGACTTTGCACTTACGCAGTGCAACACTTGCACTTTACTTTCCTCCAACTGTCTACAATGAGGGCAAACACATTGGCAATAGAGCTGCTTTTGCTCTGAGCTACAATCATGGCTTTTCATGTTACTTACCAAGTGGTGTTTCTGGTTAGGAATCACAGCTATAAAATTGATTTCAGTTCATTACACTTCTTCATGATGTTGCCCCTAAATTTTGCACACTATATTCTTGTATATTATTTCAAATAAAATGAAAAAAATTGTTTATCCCTGAAAAAAAAAAGTAAATAAAATTAAAAGTCTAGATTCTCAGATATACTAACCACATTTCAAGAGCTCAACAGCTGCATATGGCTCATAGCTCACATACTGGAGAGCACAGACATAGAACACTTTCATTATCACAGGAAATTCTGTTGGGGAGTGCTGTGGAGGTCAAGTTATAATCACCATGAACAACAGCCATGAACAACAAGGTTTGGGAGAAGGAAAATTTACATGGATCCGATACAGACTGAATCTATTCATTGGGTACCCCTTTGCCAGTAGCTACAAGATCCAGATTAAAAACAAAACAGCCACTACCATTCGTGTATGGACTGAGGTATTCTTTGATTTCCCTTTTATCATCAAATAGTAAGCATCACGGTTCTCAGCTCTGGCTGCACAGTATAATCACCTATGGAGAATCTGGTTTAAATAGTCTGTGCCTGAGGCAGAGAATTAGTAGCTTTTAAAAGCACCTTAGGTGAATCCTATTTTGTAGACAAGCTTGAAAAGCACTGATTTAGCACATATATCAGCTCATCTAATCAAATGATCACATAATTAATGAATAAATTATATTCACTGTTATCTGGATAGTCCACAGAAGCAAACTGAGAGGCTAGACTGGGTCCAGCAATCACCACTCATGGGGGCAGGATGCTATGCTGAACTTATGTTGGAAAAATAATTTTGCATTGCTCACACCCCAATTTTTGGCAGCTTGCAACAATTCTCCTATTCATTTCTGCATGTATTCTCTCCAAAACCTTCACAAAAATTATTAATACACATAATTTCTATGTTACCTCTTGGATCTTTCTCAGTTTCAGAGAATAATCAGTAATTAGTGAAGAATTACTCCATTTATCTTCTCTTGATTGATATTCTATGCTCAGTTCATGATTTCTTCTTGCCATATAAGTTGTACAGTTCTACTACAGCAAAAAGTATAAATAATATCTTTATAGTGAGGAGTTATAGAAGATAGCCACTACTTCATTAATTTTATTCTACTTTATATTGTTTTTGTAGAAATCCAATTTTCCTTATTAAATACTGATACAAAACAGAACTCCAAAATACTTAGGTCAATACTACTCATTGTTCAAATTCTTGCTGGAGAAATACAGTAACATTTAAGGTACAAAAGAATTATATAGGAGTTTAAATACCTATGTCAGTAATAATCCAGATTGGATTTAAGGCTATTTCATCCAATAATATTTATGCTTTCCAGGGTACATTAAAAAAGTGGTTAAACATACTATCTTAATTATTATTTAAGTTGCTAAGAACATTGATTATTACTTGTAATATTATATGCAATATGTATAATATTACGATTATGGTAAGATTGCTATTAACAATGTTATTAACTTTTGTTGGTAAGAAGCACGTTTTTAAAATTCTATCACTTGTATTTTGTGCCATTACAAACTCCACAGAATATACTACAACACATATCAATTAGGTTATTACCATGAAAGTCAAAGTCGCTCAGTCATGTCCGACTCTTTGTGACCTCATGGACTATATAGTCCATGGAATTCTCCAGGCCAGGACACTGGAGTGGGTAGCTTTTCCCTTCTCCAGGGGATCTTCCCAATCCAGTAATCAAACCCAGGTTTCCTGCATTGCAGGTGGATTCTTTACAAGCTGAGGCATGAGGCATTTACTTTTACTTCCTCTTTTTTGAAGTTTGTTGTGCAGTGTTCAAACATGACTATTTCAAATTAGGGGAATGTTTTCATCATTTGATATGTAAAGGAAAACTGTAACTTTTCCAAAATTAGAAAAAAGAAAATTCACTAAAACTCACCTGCTGCCGATCAAGGTCCTCCATGATCTGGGCCTACCCTGTTAATTCAGGGTCTTTCTCAGTATTGTTCAATAAACACCATTCACTCAAGACAATGTTATTTTCATAAGGCTTCCACTCCTGCAATTTCATTGCTGTCTCCATGAGTTTGCTCACATTATTTATTTTGCCCAGAGTTAATTTATTTTCAAAAGTATGGGTGGGGTGGAGATTTTCAGGCAGTAGTATATGGCACTTTAAAGGAAAATTGTTGTGTGATTAAAAAAATAGTTCTATTTAATTTCATTGTACTTGATATACTTTTTATTTATATGTGACATCATGGAAAATAGAATACTGTATGTGAAATTAACAATGGAAATGGAAAAGGAGTACATAAATCTACCTAAGTTTCTATAGAAATGGTTCTCCAATTTTACCCTGCATCAAAACACCCAGAGAACTTGTTAAACAAATTAAGGGACTTGAACCTCACAGCTTTTATTTCAGTAGGTCCAGAGTGAGGTCCAAGGATTTGCATTTCTAAGTAAGTTCCTAGTTAATGCCCAGGTTGCTAGTCCAGGGACCACACTTTGAGAAGCATTTATACAGGAATCAAAAAGTTTAAATTCACTAGAATGTTGTTTTTTGGAATACATAAAATGCATATACTTAATATATCTATGGTTCTTCAAAAAATCAGTCAGTTTTAAATGAGAAGTCAATGTCTGAGCTGCAAAGGAAAGGACCAAAAGAAATCAGCATCAGGAAAGAAATAGTGACAATTCCTTTTAGGTGAAAGATTTAACTCTGAGCTGATGGAGGCAAGACAGGGTTATGAAATATCTATTATGTCCAATGATGTTTGTTGCCACACTGTTATAAACAGTGTTTGAAAACAACCAAAGTCCCCATTTAACAGAGGCCTACTTAAGTAACATACCATTACTTTTACCTTTATAGATAGGTTTTCTAGTTGTAGCAACCACAGTGGGCAGAGTCTCTTCAGGTTCAATTTTCTTTTTTTGTAAGGTTGATTTTTTTTGATGCCCTAAAAAAATGAGGATGGTGTTATAACCTAGAAATAACCTCATTTAAACTTCAAAAAAATTAAAATAAATCTTACTAATTTACTTCTAAAGTACAGCTTCTGTATATTTTTTTTCAATATTTTAGATAAAGCAGCTTTACTAACACAAATATTGCCTAATTTTTCCTTGGTGGGTATTTGACCACCTCCCAATGCAGGAGACATAAGAGATGAAAGTTCAACCCCTGGGTCAGAAAGATCTCTTGGAGAAGGGCACGGCAACCCACTCCAGCATTCTTGCCTGGAGAATCCCAAGGACAGATGAGTCTGGTGGGCTACATTCCATAGGGTCACATAGAGTCAGGCACAACTGAAGCAACTTAGCATGCAAGCATAAACTGTGCTCATTTTGCATCCTAGTAAGGTTACATTCAAAATCCTTCAAGCTAGGCTTCAGCAGTATGTGAACTGAGAACTTCCAGATGTACAAGCCGGGTTTAGAAGAGGCAGAGGAATCAGAGATCAAATTGACAACATTCGTTGAATCATACAGAAAGCAAAGGAATTATAGAAAAACATCCACTTCTGCTTCCTTGACTGTGCCAAAGACCTTGACTGTGTGGATCACAACAAACTGTGGAAAATTCTTAGAGAGATGGGAATACCAGACCACCTTACCTGTCTCCTGAGAAACCTATATGTGGGTAAAGAAGCAACAGTTAGAACCTTACATGGAACAATGAGTTGGTTCCAAATTGGGAAAGGAGTATGTCAAGGCTGTATATTGTCACTCTGCTTATTTAACTTATATGCAGAGTACACCATGTGAAATGCTGGGCTAGATGACTCATAAGCTAGAATCAAGACTGCCAGTAGAAATATCAACAACCTCAGTAGAAATATCAACAACCTCAGATATGCATATGATAATCACTTCAATGGCTAAAAGTGAAGAGGAACTAAATAGTCTCTTGATGAAGGTGAAAGAGGAGAGTAAAAAAAAAAACTGGCTCAAAATACAACATTCAAAAAACTAAGGTCATGGCATCCAGTCCTATCATTTCATGGCAAACAGAAGGGGAAAAAGTGGAAGCAGTGACAGATTTTGTTTTCTTGGGCTCCAAAATCACTGCAGAGAATGACTGCAGCCACGAAATTAAAAGATGCTTGTTCCCTGGAAGGAACGCTATGACAAATCTAGACAGCATATTAAAAAGCAGAGAGATATGACTTTGTTGACAAAGGTCCATAAAGTTAAAGCTATGGTTTTTCTAGTAGTCATGTATGGATGTGAGAGTTGGACCATAAAGAAAGTTGAGTGCCAAAGAAATGATGCTTTTGAACTGTGGTATTGGAGAAGACTCTTGAGAGTTCCTTGGACTGCAAGGAGATCAAAGCAGTCAATCCTAAAGGAAATAAACCCTGAATATTCTTGGAAGGACTGATGGTGAAGCTCCAATACTTTGGCTACCTGATGTGATGAGTTGACTCATTGGCAAAGATCCTGATGCTGGGAAAGATTGAAGGCAAAAGAAGAGGGCAGCAGAGGATGAGATAGTTAGATAGCATCACCAACTTAATGGATATGAATTTGAGCAAGCTCTGGGAGATAGTAAAGGACAGGGAAGCCTAGTGTGCTGCAATCCACGAGGTTGCAGTGTCAGACATGACTTAGCGACTGAATAACAACAACAACAAACATAAACAGTAAGAGTGTGAATCAAGAAAAAAATAATAAAAAACTGTAAAAATGTTAGAGGTTTTTTTTTTTAATAGTAGGTCAGTAAAAAAATTTAAGCAATTAAATAAATAAATTCTCAAGTAAAGTTTTTCTCTATGAAACAGCATATCTTCATTTTCTAAAAAAGAAGTTTGTATTCCTTTGGTGAAAAATCTAGTGCCAGGACAGAAGGAAAGTTAAAGTGAAAGTTGCTCAGTAGCGTCCAACTCTTTGTGACCCCATGGAGTGTACAGTCCATGGAATTCTCCAGACCAGAATACCGGAGTGGGTACTTTCCCTTCTCCAGGGGATCTTCCCAACCCAGGGAACCAACCCAGGTTTCCTGCATTGCAGGCAGATTCTTTACCAGCTGAACCACAAGGGAAGCCCAAGAATACTGGAATGGGTAGCCTATCCCTTCTCCAGGGGATTTCCTGACCCAGGATTCAAGCCAGGGTCTCCTGCATTGCAGGCAGATTCTTTACCAACTGAGCTATGAGGAAGCCCACAATGGAAGGAGAGATACTAAAAAAACACTATTTCAAAGATATATATTTTGAGCACTGTTTAAAAACAAAACTATGTAATAATGAAAATAGTTTCAAAATGGTCACTTGGAGAAAAATAAAAAGCAGAATGTGGCACATTTAGATGCTACTCTCAAAGTTAGTAGAAAAAAATTGCATTAATGTGCTTAGTTTCTACAATATATATCTTGAATGATTATAAATACCACTGAAGTAATGGATAAGAAATAGGGTCTGTAAATTAGATCTTAGACATGAATGGATTAGACAGTTGGAAGATGGTAATGGAGGAAGAAAAATGAACATATTATTTATCATCCTTCACACTTACCCTCACTTTGACTCTTTCTATTGCCCCTGCTTAGTGAAACAAAGTGAAGTTGCTCAGTCATGTCCGACTCTTGGTGACCCCATGGACTGTAGCCTACCAGGCTTCTCCGTCCATGGGATTTTCCAGGCAAGAGGTACTGGAGTGGGTTGCCATTTCCTTCTCCAGGGGATCTTTCCTTGAGACCCAGGGATCAAAGCTGAGTCTCCCACATTGCAGGCAGATGCTTTACCACCTGAGCCACCAGGGAAGCCACTGACCCTGCTTGGGACTGATAAAAAGAGGAATGTTTAAACATAAGGAAGAGGATCATGAGGTGCATTTATCTCAGTCATCTGCAGGATCTATAATAGTGTGCAAGAGGGGAATGTTGAAAAAAATAATGGAGTTCCAATTTAGTAGTGGTGGGCAAGGGAGCCATGCCAGAGACACCACTTACCTGCCAAGAATGCATATATGTCAGATGACCTTACTTTAGCATTTATTTTCACTTATTTTTGTTAAACTGGTTATATGACTAAGGCTAGTACAATCTGGTAATTTCCATATAATCAAACCTTTATTCATTAAAAACATCACATTGTACAATAAAAATATTATGAATTACCTGAATGTTCTTTATTCAGTGAAGGAAAATTGACGGCTTTATAAACACCTGGCCCAGTCTTAGATGTCCCATGAAGTACTTTTGGAAGTTCAGTCATGTAAGATGAAAATTCCTCAAAAGATGCATCTAGAAATATTTAGAAAATATGTTAGCTGTGAGATGGATCATATTCATAACCATTTTTATTTTTAATATTCACACAGTAAGTTGTCAATAGAAATAAAGAAGTTTATATAATGAAAATTAATTTTTTGAGAACATTAACTCAATTAGAATAATAAAGATATATATTTAGAAGATTAGTTTGGAGATCAGAGCTAAATGAAAGAAGCAAGTCACAAAAAGCCTCAATTGTAATAGAGACAGGAATTAGATAAGTTGATGCTTAGGGTTGGAGGAATATGAGGATTAGACCACACAAGTAGTGGAATTATATTTTCAAAGTTCTGAAAGCAAGAATTCACAATCATGAATTTTATACCTACAAAAACTACCATTCAAATATAAAGATGAAACAAACTATTCCCAGATTAAAACAAACAAATCAACGCAAGAGATTTTGTTTTTATACTATCAGCCATGTCTTAAAAGAAATACTAAAAGGAATCAGTTCAATTCCGTTCAGTCACTCGGTCGTGTCCGACAATTTGGGACCCCATGGACTGTAGCAGGTCAGGCCGCCCTGTCCATCATCAACTCACGGAGTTTACTCAAACTCATGTCTGTTGAGTCAGTGATGCCATCCAACCATCTCATCCTCTGTCGTCCCCTTCTCCTCCTGCCTTCAAACTTTCCCAGCATCAGGGTCTTTTCCAATGAGTCAGTTCTTCCCATCAGGAGGCTGAAGTATTGGAATTTCAGCTTCAGCATCAGTCCTTCCAATGAATATATAGGACTGATTTCCTTTAGGACAGACTGGTTGGATCTCCTTTCAGTCCAAGGGGCTCTCAAGAGTCTTCTCCAGCACGACAGTTCAAAAGCATCAATTCTTCTGCACTCAGCTTTCTTTATAGTCCAACTCTCACATCCATAATGGAAAAACCATAGCTTTGACTAGACAGACCTTTGTTGGTAAAGTAATGTATCCAATTTTTAATACACTGTCTAGGTTTGTCATAACTTTTCATCCAAGGAGCGAGTGTCATTTAATTTCATGGCTGCAGTCACCATCTGCAGTGATTTTGGAGCTCAAAAAAAATAAAGTCTGTCACTGTTTCCATTGTTTCCCCATTTATTTGCCATGAAGTGATGGGACCAGATGCCATGATCTTAGTTTTCTGAATGTTGAGCTTTAAGACAACTTCTTCACTCTCCTCATTCATTAAGAGGCTCTTTATTCTTCTTAGTTTTCTGCTATAAGGGTGGTGTCATCTGTATATCTGAGGTTACTGATATTTCACCCAGGAATCTTGATTCCAGCCTGTGCTTAATCCAGCCCAGTGTTTCTCATGATGTACTCTGCATATAGGTTAAATAAGCAGGGTGACAATATACAGCCTTGATGTACTCCTTTTCCTATTTGGAACCAGTCTGTTGTTCCACGTCCGGTTCTAACTGTTGCTTCCTGACATGCATACAGGTTTTTCAAGAGGCAGGTTAGGTGGTCTGGTATTCTCATCTCTTTCAGAATTTTCCACAGTTTCTTGTGATCCACACAGTCAAAGGCCATTGCATAGCCAATAAAGAGAAGTAGATGTTTTTCTGGAACTCTCTTGCTTTTTCAATGATCCAACAGATGTTGGCAATTTGATCTCTGGCTCCTCTGCCTTTTCTAAATCCAGCTTGAACATCTCAAAGTTCACGGTTCATGTACTGTTGAAGCCTGGCTTGGAGAATTTTGAGCATTACTTTACTACCATGTGAGATGAGTGCAATTGTGTGGTAGTCTGAGGACTATTTTCATTGCCTTTCTTTGTGACTGGAATGAAAACTGACCTTTTCCAGTCCTGTGGCCACTGCTGAGTTTTCCAAATTTACTGGCATACTGAGTGCAGCACTTTCACAGCATCATCTTTTAGGATTTGAATAGCTCAACTGGAATTCCATCACTTCTACTAGTTTTGTTTGGAGTGATTCTTCCTAAGGCCCTCGTGACTTCGCATTCCAGGATGTCTGGCTCTAGGTGAGTGATAGAGGTCATCTGGGTTATGAACATCTTTTTTGTATAGTTCTTCTATGTATTCTTGCTACCTTTCTTAACATCTTCTGTTTCTGTTAGGTCCATACCATTTCTGTCCCTTATTGAGCCCATCTTTGCATGAAACGTTCCCTTGGTATCTCTAATTTTGTTGAAGAGATCTCTAGTCTTCCCCATTCGATTGTTTTCCTCTGTTTCTTTGCACTGATCACTGAGGAAGGCTTTCTTATCTCTCCTTGCTATTTTTCAGAACTCTGCATTCAAATGGGTATATCTTTCCTTTTCTCCTTTGCCTTTTGCTTCTCTTCTTTGCTTAGCTGCTTGTAATGCCTCCTCAGGCAACCATTTTGCCTTTTTTTTTTTTTTACCTTGGGGATGGTCTTGATCCCTGCCTCCTGTACAATGTCACGAACCTCCGTGCATAGTTCTTTAGGCACTCTGTAGATCAGATCTAGTCCCTTGAATCTATTTTTCACTTTCACTGTATAGTCATAAGGGATTTGATTTAGGTCATACCTGAATGGGCTAGTGGTTTTCCCTACTTTCTTTAAGTCTGAATTTGGCAATAAGAAGTTCATTATCTGAGCCACAGTCAGCTCCCATTCTTTTTTTGCTGACTTCTCCGTCTTTGGCTGCAAAGAATATAATCAATCTGATTTCAGTGTTGACCATCTGGTGATGTCCATGTGTAGAATCTTTTTTTGTGTTGGTGGGAGAGGACGTTTGCTCTGACCAGTGGGTTCTCTTGGCAAAACTCTATTAGCCTTTGCCCTGCTTCATCTGTACTCCAAGGCCAAATCTGCCTGTTACTCCAGGTGTTTCCTACAAAAGTAGGAAGTCCCTTATAATGAAAAGGACATCTTTTTTGGGTGTTAGTTCTAGAATGTCTTTATGTCATCACAAAACCATTCAGCTTCTTCAGCATTACTGGTTGGGGCATAGAAGCTGGTTGGATTACTATGATATTGAATGGTCTGCCTTGGAAACAAACAGAGATCATTCTGTAGTTTTTGAGATACATCCAAGTACTGCATTTCAGACTCTTTTGTGGACTATGATGGCTACTCCATTTCTTCTAAGGGATTCTTTCCTTAGTAGATATAATGGTCATCTGAATTAAATTCACCCATTCCAGTCCATTTTAGCTCACCGATTCCTAAAATGTCGACATTTACTCTTGCCATCACCTGTTTGACCACTTCCAATTTGCCTTGATTCATGGACCTAACATTCCAGGTTCCTATGCAATATTGCTCTTTACAGCATTGAACTTTACTTCTACCACCAGTCACATCCACAACTGCATGTTGTTTTTGCTTTGGCTCTATCTCTTCATTCTTTCTGGAGTTATTTCTCCACTGATCTCCAGTAGCATATTGGGCACCTACCGACCTGGGGAGTTCATCTTTCAGTGTCCTATCTTTTTGCCTTTCATACTGTTCATGGGGTTCTCAAGGCAAGAATACTTAAATGGTTTGCCATTCCCTTCTCCAGTGGACCACGTTTTGTCAGACCTCTCCACCATGACCCGTCCGTCTTGGGTAGCCCTACATGGCATGGCTCATAGTTTCATTGAGTTAGACAAGGCTGTGGTCCATGTGATCAGATTGGTTAGTTTTCTGTGATTGTGGTTTTCAGTCTGTCTGCCCTCTGATGGAGAATGATAAGAGGCTTATGAAAACTTCCTCATGGGAGAGACTGACTGAGTGGGACACTAAAGGGAATACATCGGGCTGAAACAAAATGACAACAGAAGGTAACTCGAATCCACATGAAGAAATAAAAAAGTACTTTAAAGGTAATTATATAGGTAAATATAAATGACAATATACATTTCTACCTCTTCTTCAATTAACTGATTAAAAAGACTATGTCATAAAACTGTATTGCTGGACATATAAAATAAAACTTAATTTTATTTCTATATAAGAGCACAGAATAATCCAAGAACTTAATTAAGGGAACAATTTTATTTGTGAAAGCATCAAAATAATAAAATAGCAATAAATTCAGTGAAGGGGAATAGCTTGTAGTAAATGTTAAAAAAACATTGCTGAAGGAAATTAAAGAACTCTAAATAAATAAACTCAGTGTTGATAGATTAGCTAAATAGTATTCCATTGTGTGTTTGTGTGTATATATATATATGTATGAACATTGTAAAACTGAAAAAGGGGTACGTCAAGGCTGTATATTGTCACCCTGCTTGTTTAACTTACATGCAGAGTACATCATGTGACATGCTGGGCTAGATGACTCATAAGCTAGAATCAAGACTGCCAGCAGAAATATCAACAACCTCAGATATGCATATGATAATCACTTCAATTGCTAAAAGTGAAGAGGAACTAAATAGCCTCTTGATGAAGGTGAAAGAGGAGAGTAAAAAAAAAACTGAGCAAGGCAATGCTCTAATCCTTCAAACTAGGCTTCAACAGTACATGAATTGAGAACTTCCAGATATACAAGCTGGATTAGAAAAGGCAGAGGAACCAGTGATCAAATTACCAACATCTGCTGGATCATAGAAAAAGCAAGAGAATTCCAGAAAAACATCTACTTCTGCTTCCTTGATTATGCTAAAGCCTTTGACTGTGTGGATCAGAACAAACTGTGAAAAATTCTTAAAGAGGTGGGAATACCAGACCACCTTATCTGCCTCCTGAGAAACCCGTATGCAGGCCAAGAAGCAACAGAACAGGACATAGAACAACAGACTGGTTCAAAATTGGGAAAAGAGTATGTCAAGACTGTATGTTGCCATCCTGTTTATTTAACTTATATGCAGAGTACATCATGTGACATGCCTGGCTGGATGAATCACAAGCTGGAATCAAGATTGGCGGGAGAAACATCAATAACCTCAGATATGCAGATAACACCACCCAAATGGCAGAAAGCAAAGAGGAACTAAAAAGCCTCTTGATGGGGGTGAAAGCCAGTGAAAAAGCTAGCTTAAAACTCAACATTCAAAAAATGAAGATCATAGCATCTGGTCCTATGACTTCATGGCAAATAGATGGGGAAACAATGGAAACAGTGACAGACTTTCTTTTCTTGGGCTCCAAAATCATTGCAGATGGTGACTGCAGGTATGAAATTAAAAGTCACTTGCTCCTTGGAAGAAAACCTATGACAAACCTAGACAGTGTATTAAAAAGCAGACACATCACTTAGGCTACAATGGTCCATATAGTCAAACTATGGGTTTTCCAGCAGTCATGTACAGATGTGAGAGATGAACCATAAAAAGGCTGAGAGCTGAAGAATTGATGCTTTTGAACTGTGGTGCTGGAGAAGACTCCTGAGAGTTCCTTAGATTGCAAGATCAAACCAGTCAATCCTAAAGGAAATCAACCCTGAACATTCATTGGAAGGACTAATGTTGAAGCTGAAGCACCAATACTTTGGCTACCTGATGTGAAGAGCCGACTCATTGGAAAAGACCCTGATGCTGGGAAAGATTGAGGGCAGGAGAAGAAGGGGACAATAGAGGATGACATGGTTGGATGGCATCACTAAGTCAATGGATATGAGTCTGAGAAAACTTAGGGAGATAGTGAAGGACTGAGAAGCCTGGTAGGGTGCACTTCATAGCATCGCAAAGAGTCAGACTTAGTGACTGATCAACATATATATTATATATATATTATACAATACAATATATACAATTTTAAATTCTTTATTGGGTAAATTACAGATCTCCATGTCTTTGGGGTTGGTTTCTGGAAGATTATTGTGATGTTTTGGTAGTATCATGTTGCCTTGATTCTTTGTGTTCCTTGGGCTTTAGATGCTTCACATCTGAAGCAGCAGTCCCCTCCTTCAGACTTACTACTGCCTTCAGGGGAGAAGTGCTTTCCATCTGCCCTGTTAGAGACCTGGAGGTTTTCTCAGACCTTGAGAAATCTGCTCACATTTCTTGCTCCTACTTGTGGCAGAATTCTTAAGCTTGTATATCATCTCTGGATTCTGCAATGCACCAGGTCCAAAGCTGATAACCTCCCTTTTGCTTCTCTAAAGAGGTGCTACATCTCAAGTTTCTGGTTTCTCTCTGGTCCACAGACACTGGCCTGCTTTCAGAAAGTGCTCCATAGCTGTCCAACAAAGAATGCTCTGGCTGCCACACTCAGGAGCATCCACAGAGAGTTGGCTGTAGAATGAGGGCATGTGGATGTGGCATGCCTGAACCTGGGGGAGCTAAAGGCTAGCTGGGGGTATCTGCAGGTGAGGCTCTCCCAGAAAGTTCATAGGTGGGCTTTCTGATGGAGTTCACAGCATAGTCAGAAGGAACCCAATTCCTTTAATGTTCTCCAAAAATCTTATCTGCCTCTCCTGACCTCATATTGTCCTGTAATTTAGTGCTCTGAATGCTACAGGAGAGAAGAAATGAGTCTTTTTGGCTGCACCCCAAACAGCTGCGGAAGCCTGATGCTCATTCACTTGCTCTTCCTCTGACCTACCTCTCATCTCCTCACAGGATGGCTTTTGCTTGGCCCCACCTGTTCCATCTTAGGGAAGGTCAGCAAAGTCAAACTGTCCCTCTTATTCACTCTAATGTGTCCAAACTCATCTTTTGTTCCAATGGAGTGCTGGAACTTCTCCTTGAGAAATCCAGACTTCCATTAAGGCTCTTCTGTCAGTGATGACTGCCCCAGTCAGGGTTATCCTGGACCATGGTCCAGATTCTCCTGGACCATGGCCAAGAGGAGCTGCAATCAGTTTATAAGCTACTGAAGGTCCACAATCGGGATGGAGGTCTGTCTTCCTATTACCTGATGCACAGGCATATGGAACTCCTCCAAGTCCCTTGGTGAATGATGATGGATCCCAGACTCCCACAGTATCACTTTTGTTCATGGATACATGACAAATTTTTATTGTTGATAAGAGGCAGATTAGGAGCATTATCCTGTGCCATCATGATGCTGATGTCACCTGTCATACATCTGCAGTACAGTCAGTTCTGCATTCCCTCCTGGCTTTATTTGTTGTACTATTTTTGGCCATGCAAATTGGCATGCAGGATCTTAGTTCCTGATCATGGATTGAACTGACACCCCCTCAGTGGAAGCATGGAGTCTTAACCACAGGACTACCAGTGAAGTTCCTGGTTTGTTTCTGAATGCATATTTTACAGATAAAATTATAATTAAAATATAATCAAATGATGGAAAAGATGACCTAAATGTATGGTTCACTGCTATATGCCTGTTTTTCTCCCCACATTTTATAGGGGAGTGTCTACTGTGGTGTTAGTAGCTCAGTCGTGTCTGACTCTTTGTGATCCCAAGGACTGTAGCCTGCCAGGCTCCTCTGTACATGGAATTCTCCAAGCAAGAATACTAGAGTGGGTAGCTTTTCCCTTCTCCAGGGGATCTTCCTGACTTACAGACCTGCATTACAGGAGAATTCTTTACTGTCCGAGCCACCAGGAAACTTTGGAGTCTATCCTTGTCTGTGTTACTGTATTGTGTGTGTTTTATGGGAAGCACAGGAGCTGCCTCTGAAAGAGATTATAGATCCTAAGACAGTGGTCTTTGGCACTGATATCAAATTTTAATGAGAATTTGTGGAATTCTTGGAAGAGCACATGTATTTTGCATGGGAGGGAAGTAGGAATCATGGGTATTTGCAACCAGAAGAAGCACTGGTAGACTGGATTCAATAACAGGCTCAACATGTTCTTGACTACCTGTATTCATGTGCTCCCACACAACTCTGATCTTGGTAATATGACTTCAATGAATGCAAGAAAAGCAGACAAATACAGGCAGAGACTTGAAAACTGCTTGTGCATTGATTGAGATTTGCCCCATGCTGTGCTAAGGATCGGAGGTTACAATGTGAAGACCCCTAAGCCATCTAGATGAAAGATGAGAGACGTGTAGCGAGGTTACCTCCAGTAACACTTGAGAAGCTTATTTTCTCTTAGGTTCCAAACCACTCTTACATTCTGCTTTGTGGTACTGGATCTGGAATCCTACAAACTACATTTATGCTTTGCCAGGCAGCACCGAGTTAGGCTGTGCAGACAGGGCCTGCGAGAGGGAGACTTCTGGAAAAGAACCAAGGAATCTGTTTCTCCCACCTGGTTACCAAAGGGCTTCTCAAGAGCTCATGTCCCTTTTCAGCTCTGGTGAACACCATGCCAGCAATGTACCTTTCCCCAGGAGCAGAAATTCTTTGCATGGCACAAATTGTTTGTATTTGTTGGGGTCCTTTAATGGACCGGAACCTGGTGGTACGGAGTCGACGATAAGAAAGTAAAAGAGAGAAAGAGGCTGATATTCCCTGGTTTACGCAGAGACCAATAAAGCCCTTGACACAGGACTTGCATTGCTCATGAAGGCACCAGGCACCCCCTCGAGGGGGTGAAGGCACAAAGTGCCTTCTTGAAAGGGTCTTAGAAGCCTGGGCAGGAAAGTGAGCATGATGGGTCTCCACGCTCCAGAGAATCAGCCAGAAAAAAAGAGGGAGAGAGAGAGAGAAACAAAAAAGACATGGGGACGTAAGCTCTGATGAGGCAAAGGTGCTTTAATGATTTTTCTATGAGTATATATAGGTGGTACAAGAAACTTCTTTCGGGAATGATAGAGATCAGAAAACCAAACGTACAGCAACCGTTACCAAGGGAACAAGGGGTAATGTTAGTCACAAGGTCAGGAGACAATCCATATCTCAAGAAAGGGCAGCAAGACTAAGCAGTTTTGTCCTAAAGAGAATGTTTACTAAAGGAGACCCAAGCCTGCCTCACACAATGACCTCAGTCCCTGGGAGCAGCGTGCTGTTCCTCTTGAAGAGGGACAAAGGACTCACGAGAGACAGCACATAGGAATCCTCCCGTCAAACATTCCCTGACAGGTGTTCTTTCCAACATGAGAAGAACAAGTTTTATTAAACTTTCACCACCCGAGACACTAGCAGTGCTTTGTCTTCAGAAGTACACAGGAGACTTCCTGAAAAATCAGACACCAGCACCAGCCAAGTAACATCCTATCCTGAAGTCTCTTTCAGCCCTAATAGTGGAAACTTCTGAAACTGCTTTCTCCATGTTATTTCAGAGTTCTTCTTACATTTTCAGTTATGCAGCTCATAATTTTATACTTAGGTTTATTATTTTTGCTCTCTTTTCAAACAGCTAGCATAATCTCCGTCTTCTGATGAAACCAAACCATATACCTCTATTGTCTGAAATAACAGAAAGCCAGTTGCTAGACATGCAGTGAAGCCACTGGCCACAAGCTGACCAAGGACATATAAATTATCCCAGCTCAAACCAGTCTACATTGCAAACTCCCAATCATGAACTATATAAATAGTTATGCTTTAGGCTAAATAGTTTTCTTTGTAGTTATCCAGTAAAATAACACTAACAAATGTGGGAAAAATTAAAATTAGATTGAGATATGAGAGATAAGATTTAGTAACTTTGGGCATAAATGGAAAAAAGCAAATAAAAACCCACTAATCTATGTGGCTGAAGGTTATGCAGAGAAAAGTATATTTTTCCTCAATTGCTGGTAAAAATGTTAACAGCCCTTTAGGTAAACAATCTGAAAGTATTTTTCAATATTAAAAGCTTATAAATACTTTAACAATATCAATCCTAAGATACTACCCCAAAGAGATAAAAATATTCATATGCAAGAATAGATATTCATGGACACATTTAGTAGGGTGAAAAGTGTAAAAAATCAATGAACTTCAATAGGAGAATGATTAAATAAAGAATTCTATATTATGAAATATACTGCCAGTAAAAAGGAGAAATTAAAGTTATTTCATTTTCAGGCTTGCAAGGGTTTATCTAAGATATTTCTGAAGAAAAAGTTAGATATAAAAAGAATTAAAAAAATACCACAAGAATTATTCTAGGTAGTTATAAAGTATTTTAATATCTTTATATATAAATTTTTACCTTCATCATCAAAGGGTGATAAAGTAATTACTTTTGTTTTATATTTACTTGGTGCAATGTGCCTGGCATAGACATTTTCTTGCTGTAAAAATGTATTTCTGCCTTTAAGTAAATCTATAATAAAATTTAAAAAGAAAAATTATATGAAGTCTAACATTCATACACTACTCTCCAAACCCCATGTATTAGTCTTTATGCATTTGTAATGTTTCCTTCCCATAGTTTAGCCACTTGTCAATGACTATTAGTCTAGTTTCTATAAATATTTCATCATTTTCTCTTCCTTTTCTTTATTCTGTAGTTCCTTGGTAGCATCCTGCTTTTTCTTTTCCAACTTCACTGAGGTATACTTAGTATATAAAAACACTGCCCAGATGTAATGTGTACATTTTGATGAATTTTAAAATAGGCATACAACCTGTGATGCCATCATCACAATCAAGGTAATAAACATGTCTATCACCTATAAGAGACTTCTCCTATCTCCTTGCTTTTTTATGTGTATGTCATAAAAACACTTAGCACAAAGCACTCCTGTCTTAACAATTTTTACATGCACAATACTTCATTGTTAACTGTAGACGTAATGTTTTACAGAGATCTCTAGAATTTACTCAACTAATATAAATGCGACTTTATATCCATTGAACAACTACCCACTTCTCTCTACCCCTACCCCTGGAAACAACCATTTTATTCTCTGGTTCTGTGAGTTTGACGACTGATAAAATGCTAGATTAAAAATGTCTTTTAAAAAGTATTGCTGAGATGGCATAAAAACATTCTCTAGAGACTAGAAAGGAATTAAAGCATTTAACTTGAGAATTTCTGCTAAAAAGGGGTATATATATTTGTATGCATGTACATTTTTAATAAATTTGACTGACCTACAGTAATGTGGGTAGTGGGGAGGAAGACAGGTGGGAAGTTTCACAATAAAGAATAATAAAAAAATAAAGAGGGCACAATAAAACATTTTAGAATATATTTGTACAGATCATCATTATATATTCTTTATGACTGTGTATAATAAAAGCTGAGAAAGGAGGGATTGGGATTGTAAAATCACACAAAGGGAACCATTAGAATGTTGTGTGTTTTCTGTTAATTTTCTTATTTTCTGGATGTTTAAAATATTTTATAGAATAAATTTTAAAAACATACTACAAAAGTAATCTAAATAATTAGATATCTATTTTATACTGTTATATCTTTTACCTTGATTGCCAAGTTGTGAAAAATTGATCACGTTCATTGGGAATTTACTTCCTGCGATGTGCCCAGTAAAAAACTCTGCTTGATGTTGTGTGGACATATCTTTATTTTTAAATACATTCACTCCTAATGTAAAATTTAAAAAGAGAAATTTCACAAAGACACTATAACTATTTGCACACTACTCCCCATCCTTCATGCATTAGTCTTCATTTTGGCAACTGTAAATTTTTCTTTCCACATATATGTGGCCACTTTTCTATCATTCCAATTTCTATAAACAATTTCTTCATTTTCTCTTCCTTTTTGTTGTTCTGTTTTCTTAGATAGCATCTCACTTAATTTCAAAATTTAATCCAATCACCTTTTATATTCATTTCTATATTTGCATATTCATTTCTATATTTGATCTGTATTCTCCTTTCAGTACTTTTTCCCTTAACAGTTTATATTGCTTCAATTTTATTCACGGCATTTAATTATAAACTCCTCATTAATAAGTAGGTATAAAATAATTAAATAAATTAATTTCATTCTTAAGGTGCATGACATTTCAAATTGGATGGAAATAAGAGCAAATTCTTGGTGTGCCTAAGGATGTTATTCAAAATTGAGAAGGATTAATAAGCAACACTGAAGCCAAAGTAACTGAAAGAACCTACATAAAAATACTCTGAAAATTAAAGACATGGAAAAATGTCTTATCCTAATATACCAAATTTATCACAGCAAAACAGAAAACAAATTTAACTGCTTAGTTCCTACAATTTCAGTTTTACACTTCTGGGTTTTTCTCGGTTAAAAGTTGTCAGTAAATAATTTTTATTCGGTTATTTTTAACAATTTTTTTTTCAGGAATAGAAGTGAGATTGTAAGAAAATAAGGCATTCAAAAGCAAAGTCTCATAAATCTCACTTTAAATGTTAAATTTCAGTGAAAACACATATTTTGGTGCTTAAATCTGAGGATTCAGTTACTTTCAAATTCTGACTTTCAGCATCACTTTTGCAAAAAGTTCATTCTTCCACCAAAGAGAAATGTATCTAACCCTGTTACTCCAGGACTAAAGCTGTCTCTGTGAATTGTAAACTCAGCTAGAGAACTTCACTTTAGTAGAGATAAATCTACACACAAGATTAATTATGTAGGGAAAATTGAATAAAATAAATGCTATATTCCTATTCTTATACCACTTATCAACTAGCCTTTTTGCTTTTTCAATTTCAAAGCAACACTCTTCTAAGCCAGCAAGAAAGTGAGCAGATTAGCAGTTTGAAATACTTAAACCAAGCATATTCTAAGGTCATTAGAGCATTGGATTATATGAATTACTTTCCAAATGTATGAGCTTACAACTAAATAAAATCTAGGTAAATTTCCATTGATAGCAAATACAAGACTTTAATGTTAATTATAAGATGAAATTCATGAAGATTACTCCCCATTAATATTAACATACAGTTATTGCTATCATTAGTTAAATCACAGAGAAGACATAAACCATAAATATTAGACTTGACAAATTCTTGATCTTACCAGGGTGACTTTTATGATATGTCTTGATTTTACTATTTTCTTTTTCACTTTCAACAGTATCTGTCATATATTCCTTATCAGTTGCTGTAGATATAAAACAAATTTCAAAACACTTTCTAAGGTAACCATTAACACACATGTATGTGTGTCTGCGTATGTAGTACTAAGCTACTTAGTACTTGTTATTATGGATGACAATATAATATCTGCACTGCACAATCATAAACCATTAGAATTTGAAGGGTTCTTAGCAATCATATAAGCCTCAAGAAACTTAAGAGATGTTTTGAGATTTGATTGAGAACACACACCAAAAAAATACAAAATTAAGCACAAGCTGAGGCCCCATAATTCCTTAACCAGTGCTTTTTCTACGTGATGCCATGTCTCACACAAACCTTAATCATCTTGGGGAGTTCACATTAATGATATAACTGCCAAGTTTACACTAAGAGGACACTCATCCTTTAAGAATATACCTATGAGTGGAACATGAAATTTTCCCCTTGCCCACTGGTCAAGTTACAAACCATGGTCACAGGCAGAAATTCTTTGACTCTCTTAAGAGTGCTTTATGCCATTTTTAAGGTTATGTAAGTCCAGTAGATATCAATGATGCAGAAGAACAACAAGATACTCTGTGGTCTAAGAAAAACCGCCTATCAGGTCATCTTATAATGTATACTTTTCCGCTGGGGAGGGGGAAGTGGGTAAATCTGCTGCAGTACCAGCACCAGGACTGCATCCCACTCCCTTTGAGTTTTTATGTGATTTGTAGATTTGGCAGGATTTAGTTAACTACAAACTAGGTCAGAGGAGAGGAAACTGCATGAAAGTTATTAAACAAAAATTCATACTGAAAAAGTGGTAAGTAGGACTGGTGACTTGGGCCAAATAATGTGTCCAATGTTTTGTGGATGGAAGGTGGTTCCAAAGAACACAAACCAAAAGTTGGAAACCTATCCTGAACCTGACACCATAAGGGGATCTTACTATTAATACTTTGTTGTAATGGCTGAGAGCAGGAGGAAGTATTAAAGATCCTACAGAGGAGATATAACTGAGGCTCTCTGGTTTTCTGCCTCCCTTAATATCACATCAAAGATCAAGGAGCAGTGTGTCAAACACCATTACACCAGACAAGCGGAAACAAGTGTAAACTATGAACTATGTAACAAGACTACAGATCTCTACTTCACCTGAGATACTGAAAATATGCTTGGTATTTTAATTATATACAGGGAATTAGTAAGCAATGAAATAACTATCCAGTAAGTCTTTTAATCTCATTCATAAACTAGACTTTCTGCTTTTCCAAATATAAAGCAACTAGCCTGAAAATTAAAAAAAAAAAAAGAGTAGCACTTGAAATGCTTTCATTAAGTATATTCCAAGCTCACTATACCACTGAAATTTTGAGGATCACTTTTTAAAAGAAGGAGTTCTGAAATTTAAAATATGTAACTAATTTTCCATTGATAATAACTGTTGGAGTTATAGCAGTTCTAACTTTAGAATGGAATTTATGAAGATACTGTATCCTGTAATAACAGCATATAGGTACTATAATCAGATTCAAATTCAAACTCTGGAGAAGATAAATAAGCCAGAATAGACTTGCAATATTCTTACTCTTACCAGGATGACTCTTGAATTGTGTCTTGATATCACTCTTTAGTATACTTCTTCCAACAGCATCTGGGAAGTGCTCTGTAACAGTGTCTATAGAAATAAACAGTTCAAAACACTTTCATAAGGTAAATATCAACATGTAGTTGTGTGAGTTTGTGTGTAATAATCCTTTAATTAGCATTTTATTATAGAAGAAGAATTATAGTGAAATGTCTTACTTACAGAAGCAAAACACCTTAGAACTGGGAGAGCCATTGGCAACCATATAAGCCTCATTATATTGTACCTTAGAAATGTTTATTAGTTTGATTAAGACCACATAGCCAAGTAGTGATAAAAGTGATCCATAGACTTATGCCTCATAATTCTTTAATTAGGACTTTTTCCATAAAACACACAGTCTCTTTGCAAATTTAATTCATCCTAGAGAGTTTATCTTAATATAACTTTTCTTGTGTACATTAAAACTACATTCATATGGTAAGACTTCCCCCAATGCCGCCAGCTCCGGACACAGTTGCTGGTGAACAGGAGGTCTGCTAAAACTTAAGTGGATGAACAAATGAATACTTTCAAGGTGGAGAAGAGTATCATGCATTTAATACCACTTTTACTCACTTGCTTCCCTTGTAGCTCAGTCAGTAAAGAATCTGCCTGCAGTGCAGGAGACCCGGGTTCAATCTCTGGGTTGGGAAGATCCCCTGGAGAAGGGCATGGCAACCCACTCCAGTATTCTTGCCTGGAGAATCCCATGGACAGAGGAACCTGGTGGGCTACAGTCCATGCAGTTGCAAAGAGTTGGACATGACTGAAGTGACTTAGCACGGATATTTTAGATAATATATCACAGTATTTCTGGATTCTGATTTGTCTCCCCATATAAGGCTTGTTGTTTAGTGTGTTCGCTTGCTTGTTTGCTTGTTTGTTTACAGTGATTTCTCAGAAGTGTCTTGCTAACATCTCTTTTCTCCTGAGGTGTGACGCCTCACCCATTGCTCCTTAGAGGGCACATCTTCAGGCATGCACACAGCAGCTTCTTGGTGTCTGTAGTAACAGGGCTCTGTCTGAGTGTCTGTTTTCCTTTTATCTCTATTTAGACATCTTCTTTCAATATCACAGAAAACACCATAAAGAAACGTGTGTAATGCTGTTACTACAGGTCTAATAAAGAGGGAACTGATAACCACTGAGACGTTATAGTCTTATCACATTCCTTAGCTAGCCTTTCTGCACTTGCAAATTCAAGAGAAATGTCTACCTAAGCTGAAAACAGAAAGTGAACAGAATATAATTGGGGATATTTTTACCAAGCATATGCTAAGTTTATTAAAGGACTGGTTTTTATGGATTACATCCTAAATGAATGAGTTCTACCATTAATAATATGTAGATAGTTTTACACTGATATTTAATATAAAACTAATTCAAGGAAAAAATTCTTGAAAATTTCAGCCCATGTAATAATAAAACATAGATACTGATGTTATTTATGACTCTTATTTAAATACCTCTAGAGAAGATAAGTAAACCTGAAAACTTAAATTTGTAAAGTTCCTATTCTTACCAGGGAGATTCATTGATTGCATCTTGAATTGTCCCTTTATTACACCTCTTCCAGTTTTACTTCTCAAGCCTTGTATATTAGTCCCTGTAGAAAAGAACAAATTTCAAAACACTTTACAAGGTAACTACTTCCATACAAACGTGTGTGTGTTTGCGTGTGTGTGTTTGTGCACATGTGTGTGTGTATGACTGACCTAATTAGTATTTGCTGTTATGAAAGATGAGTTATATTGAAATGTCTGGTTTGGAGAATCACAAAACCTTAAATTAGAACACAGGAAGCAATTATTAATATGTAAGTTACATTATATTGAAGTTTAGATATATTCAGGATATGACCCAAATCAAACATTCAGGGAATGACAAATGGATGTACCACTTTGTACCTAACCAGTGTCTTTTCTATATTCCTTTTACCAGTATCTTTTCTTTAACCAGTGTTTAATTCCTTAAGCAGTGATTTTTTCCATATAATGCTCTCTCTTACACAAGCTGAAATCATTCCAGAGAATTTATGACAGTAATATAATTTCCAAGTTCACATCAAAAGTACAGTTACTCTGTAAGGATGTTCCCAATGAGGAACAACTTCACATTTTCTTCCCCATAAAGATAAGATATAAACAAGAGTTTTCTTAGTCATAGAAACTTACCATGAATCAGAAATTCTTTGACTTGCCCAGGAAAACTTTAATTCCCTTTTAGGCTACAGAACTGTAAATCATGTGGGTATCCCTGACTTAAAAGAAAAAGTGCCTTGGGGATTCCTTGGGCATATATATTTCATGTCTTGCAAGGAGGAAATGGCAATATTTGTACCAGAACCAGGACTCTGTTAGGATCCATTTTCATTTGAGTTTTTATGTGGTCTAAAGTTTTTGCTATAATTGATAGCAATTAACTAAGATTAGATGACATTAAAAAATACATGAAAGTTAATTTAAAGATATTCACACTGAGAAAGGGATAATGAGGATTGGGGACCTAAAGGGCATGCACGCAGTTGCATTTTGATGCTAGTGGTTTTAACAGGGCTCTGTTTGAATACCTGTTTTCCTGGATCAGAAGTTTAGTGCGGGAAAGTTGGTTCCAGTTGAGCATGTAAATGTAGTTGGAAACCTGTCATGATCCTGACACTATTGAGTAAAAGACCACTTTGAAAAAAGGGCTGAGCCCATGCATAAATGCAAAAGGTGGCACTATGATTTTGGCAGCCCAAGTGTACTACATTGCATTCTTTACAGAATACCACCTGGAACATCAATAAAAAAATGAACAAAAATGAATCAGACTGGCCAGGCAAGTCTTCAATAAATAATACTTAGTGGGAGTAATAAAATTTATAGCCACACAAAATTAGGGATTAGCATATATATTTTAGCCACTTTTGTCTTCCTCCAATTAATTAATAAGGAGAATGGAATCATTTGACTCAAGAAAGCAGAGGATCCTCAGATAAGCTGGGAGGCAATCAGAACAGCATTTGGTCCCATTGTTGTTCAGTCATTAAGTTGTGTCTGACTCTTTGTGACCCCATGGACTGCAGCATGTCAGGCCTCCCTGTCCCTCACTGTCTCCCGGAGTTTGCCCAAGTTCACGTCCATTGAGTCGGTGATGCTATCCAACCATCTCATCCTCTGCTGCCCTCTTATTTTGTCTTCAATCTTTTCCAGCATCAGGATCTTTTTCAATGAGTTGGCTCTTCACATCAGGTGGCCAGAGAGAGGATTGGAGCTTCAGCATCAGTCCTTCCAGTGAGTATTCAGGGTTGATTTCCTTCAGTATTTGACATGGTATATTAATGCATATATATGAAATCTAGAAAAATGGTACTGATGAACCTATTTCCAGGGCAGGCATAGAGATGGAGACATAGAGAACAGACTTGTGGACACAGTGGGGGAAGGAGAGGGTTGGGCAAATTGACAGAGCAGCACTGAAATATATAACACTACTATGTGCAAAATAGATAGCTAGTGGAAAACTGCTGTCTAAAAAGGGAGCTCATATTGGTACTCTATGACAACCTAGAGGGGTGGGATGGGGATGAAGGGGAGGGAGGCTCAACAGGGAGGGAATATATGTATACTTATGGCTGATTCACAGTGCTATATAGGAGAAACCAACAAAACATTGCAAAGCAATTATCCTCCAATTTAAAAAAAGAATAGCATTTGAGGGAAGATTGAGTTTAAGCACTATGAATTAAAAGGTTTGCACTAGAAAAATCTTCGAAATATCCCAAAGAAAAAGAAATTTAAGAAGGCAAAATTTTTGTCTGAGGAGGCTGTCTTACAAATAGCTGAGAAGAGAAGAGAAGCAAAAAGCAAAGGAGAAAGGGAGAGATATACCCAACTGAATGCAGAATTCCAAAGAAGAGCAAGGAGAGATAAGAAAGTCTTACGTGAACAATGCAAAGAAACAGAGGAAAACAATAGAATGGGAAAGACTAGAGATCTCTTCAAGAAAATTAGAGATGCCCAGGAAACATTTCATTCAAAGATGGGCGCAATAAAGGACAGAAATGGTAAGGACCTAAGAAATAGAAGAGATTACGAAGAGGTGGCAAGAATACACAGATACTCTACAAAAAAGGTCTGAATGGCCCAGATAACCATGATGGTGTGGTCACTCAGCTAGAGCCAGACACCCTAGAGTGTGAAGTCAAGTGGGCCTTAGGAAGCATTACTACAAAGAAAGCTATATGAAGTGATGGAATTTCAGCTGAGCTATTGAAAATCTTAAAATGATGTTGTTAAAGTGCTGTACTCAATATGCCAGCAAATTTGGAAAACTCAGCAGTGGCCACAGGACTGGAAAAGGTCAGTTTTCATTCCAATTACAAGGAAGGGCAATGCCAAAGAATGTTCAAACTACCATACAACTGCATTCGTTTTACATGTTGGCAAGACAATGCTCAAAATCCTTCAAGCTAGGCTTCAACAGTATGTGAACCAAGAAATTCCAGATGTACAAGCTGGATTTAAAAAGAGCAGAGGAACCAGAGATCAAATTGCCATCCTTGTTCATAGAAAAAGCAAGACAATTCCAGAAAATCATTTATTTCTGTTTCCTTAACTATGCTAAAGCCTTTGACTATGTGGATCAGAACAAATTGTGAAAAATTCTTAAAGAGGTGGGAATACCAGACCATCTTATCTATCTCTTGAGAAACCTGTATGCAGGTCAAGAAGCAATAGTTAGAACCGGACATGGAACAACAGACGGGTTCAAAGTTGGGAAAGGGGTGTGTAAAGGCTGTATATCACCACCCTGTTAATTTAACTTATATCCAGAGTACATCATTCAAAATGTCAGGCTGGAAGAATCACAAGCTGGAATCAAGACTGCTGCAAGAAATATCAACAACCTTAGATATGCAGATAACAGCACCCTTACGGCAGAAAGTGAAGAAGAACTAAAAAGTCTCTTGATGAAAGTGAAAGAGGAGAGTGAAAAAGCTGGCTTAAAATTCAACATTCAAAAACTAAGATCATGGCATCTGTTCCTATCATTTCATGACAAATAGGTGGGGAAAAGATGGAAACAGTGACAGATTTTATTTTCCTGGGCTTCAAAATCATTGCAGATAGTGACTACAGCCATAAAATTAAAAGATACTTGCTCCTTGCAAGAAAAGCTATGACAAACCTAGACAGTGTATTAAAAAGTAGAGGTATCATTTTTCTGTCAAAGGTCCATATAGTCAAAGCTGTGGTTTTTCCAGTAGTCATATATGGATGTGAGAGTTGGACCATAAAGAAGGCTGACACTGAAGAATTGATGCTTTCAAACTGTGGTGCTGGAGAAGACTCTTGAGAGTCCCTTGGACAGTAAGGAGATCAAACCATTCAATACTAAAAGAAACCTGTCCTGAATATTCACTGGAAGGACTGATGCTGAAGCCAATACTCTGGCCATCTGATGCAAAGAGAAGACTCACTGGAAAAGACACTGATGCTGGGAAAGACTGAAGGCAGGAGGAGAAGGGGGCAACAAAGGATGAGATGGTTTAATTCCATCACTGACTCAATGTGCAAACTCAGTGAGTTTGAGCAAACTTCAGGAGATGGTGAAGTTCAGGGAAGCCTGGCATGCTACAGCTCATGTGGTTGCAAAGAGTCGGACATGACTTAGTGACTGAACAACGACAGCATATATAACTTTTCCATATTTTTTATACTGTTCTATACAACTGTCTTTTAAGTCAATTAATAGAAGGACAGAAAATACGCTTTCATATTGTCTTTTGAAGCACAGAATTCTTTTTTTTAAACTTTAATTCATTTCCTTCTTTTTTTTTTGACATGAACTTATTCATGTAGTAGCTATAAAGTACATTGGAAATATGTATTTTGTTTCACAAAGGAGGAGAAAAAACTGAAAAAAATATGGTTGTTTATGGAAAGCTGCACAGGAGGAGAAAGATGATGGAACAAAAGAGGATGCCACCCAAGAGTCTTGCTCTTCAGACTACAGTCTAGGTTACTATGTAAATACAGTTTATACCTTGGCCATCAGGGCCACTCTAATTACTTGAGTGTTTAGAACTTCAGAGCACTATTTTTGTTTCAAGTTTGTTTTCTGTTTCCCAAGTGAGACAACTTATTGTTTATTATTAAAGTAACATATGGTTAACTTTTAAAATTCCACACATGAGTGAAATCATATGGTATTTGTCTTTCTCTGTTTGGTTTATTTCACTGTATCACTGAATTTTTTATGGATCACTTTTGAATTGAGTAAATTCTAAAATTAACAAAATGTAGCTAATTCCCCACTGACAGTAACTGCTAGAATTCTAGTAATTATAGGAGGGAATTGATGACACTTTTTAATCCTGTAATAATAGCATATAGGCGCTGTAGTCACTAAAGATGCAAAGTTAAATAAACTTCAGAGAAGCTATTAATGAAAACAACAGGAAACAGACTCAAAATATTGTTCTTACCAAGATAGTTCTTGGGTTGCGTCTTGAATTCACTCTTCAAAAAACGTCTTCCAATAATATCTGGTAATAGCTCTGTATCAGACGCTACAGAAATAAACAGTTTCAAGATACATTTGTAAGCTAAACATTAACATGTGTATGTTTATTTGTGTGCATGGAATATGTGTGTATTCTTATTAGATATTTTTATTATAGGAGAAGAATTATAAATGAAATGCCTGGACTGCACACATATGACTTAAGAATTAGAAGTCTTATAAACCTCATTATATTGAGGCTCAGAAATGTTTAGTGATTTCACCAAGGCCATATATCTAGTAACAACAAACAAAATTGATCCAAAGACTGATGCCTCATAGTTTCTTAACTAGGAACTTTTCCATAAAATACAAAGTCTTTCACAAATTGAAGTCACCCTAGAGACTTCATTTTTCACTTTTACTTAATAAATATAACTTTCTTGTGTATATTAGAAAACATTCATATGGCAGGGATGTACCTGGTGAGGTGGGATATAACAATTTTTCATTTTTACATTTGGCAGTACATTCAACTTCTTTCCTCTTAGTTTCTGACTTTCAAATTTCATTTAGAGCATTTAGTTATAAATTTACCATTAATAAATAAGTATGAAATAACTAACAATTTTGTTATTAAATAGCAGGACATTTTAAAATGAATGGATATAAAAGAAAGCACTTATGCTGTGTCTAGGTTTTCATTCAAAACTGACAAGGACCTCTATTAATAAGAAACACTGAAGCAAAAATTAATTGAGAGAACATAATCAAAAATACTCTGAAGTAAAACATAAAACACATTTAACTGCATGGTTCAAACAATTTCACTTTTATACCACCAGCTTTTCCCCACTTAAAAGTTGTTGGAGTAAATAAGTTTTATTTGATTCATTTTTAACATTACTTTTTTTAGAAATTAAAATGAGAATGTAATAAAATAAACGAATCAAAAGCAAATAAATTTCAGAAACCTTGCTTAAATATTAAACTTCAGTGAAAACACAATTCTATGCTTTTCTCTGAGGGTTCAATTACTTTGCAAGTCTAGTTTTCAGCATTAGTTCTGTAGAAAGTTCACGACCATAGGAGTTCCTGCACCAAAGAGAAATGATCTAACTCTGTTATTCCAGGACTAAAGCAGTGTTAGTGAACTGTAAACTCTGCTAGAGAACTCTACTTAGTAGAGATACGAATTTACATGCCATCTTAATTATGTAGAGGAAACTGGTAACCAATGAAGTAACTGTTATATTCCTTATCTCATCAACTGGCTTTTTTTCTGTTTTGCTTTTTCCATTTTAAGCTAGCAATGAAAGTGGTTAGAAGAGCAGTTGGAAACACTGAAACCAATCATTTTCTAAAGTCATTAGAGCACAGGATTATATGTATTACTTTACAAATACTTTAAAGTTAATAACATGCAGCTAATTTTCCACTGATAGTAAATACTAGAGTTTAATTATTAGAGGGAATTCATCTTTTTCCCTGTTAATAGCAAAATATAGTTACTGTTGTCATTAATTGTTCATAGTTAATTAAATCCCAGAAAAGACATAAACCATAAGTATTACTTGAAAAACTCTTGTTCTTATCAGTGTGATTCTTTGTGTCTTTGACCAATTACTTTTTCTCTTCTAACTGTATCTGTCATGCATTCTATATCAGTCTCTATAGATATAAAACAAATTTCAAAACACTTTCTAAGGTAACCATGAACACACATGTATGTCTATCATTGTATCTATGTGTAGTACCAAGTTAATTAGTATTTGTTATCACAGAAGAGAAAGCATACATCTGCATTGCACGGTCATAAAACATTAGAATTTGAAGGGTTATCAGCAATCATATAAGCCTCATGATATAGAAGCTTAGAGATGTTTTGAGATTTGATTGAGAACACACATCAAGAAAATACAAAATTAAGCACAAGCTGAGGCCCCATAATTCCTTAACCAGTGATTTTCTACGTGATGCCATGTCTCACACAAACCTTAATCATCTTGGGGAGTTCACATTAATGCTATAACTGCCAAGTTTACACTAAGAGGACACTCATCCTTTAAGAATATACCTATGAGTGGAACATGCCATTTTTCCCCTGCCCACTGGTCAAGTTACAAACCATGGTCACAGAAAGTTATTACCAGGCAGAAATCCTTTGACTCTCTTAAGAGTGCTTTATGCCATTTTTAAGGTTATGTAAGTCCAGTAGACATTAATGATGCAGAAGAACAACAAGATACTCTGTGGTCTAAGAAGAACTGCCTATAGGTCCTCTTACAATGTATACTTTCCGTGGGGGAGGGGGAAGTGGGTAAATCTGCTGCAGTACCAGCACCAGGACTGTATCCCACTCCCTTTGAGTTTTTATGTGATTTGTAGATTTGGCAGGATTTAGTAACTACAAACTAGGTCAGAGGAGAGGAAACTGCATGAAAGTTATTAAACAAAAATTCATATTGAAAAAGTGGTAAGTAGGACTGGTGACTTGGGTCAAATAATGTGTCCAATGTTTTGTGGATGGAAGGTGGTTCCAAAGAACACAAACCAAAAGTTGGAAACCTATCCTGAACCTGACACCATAAGGGGATCTTACTATTAATACTTTGTTGTAATGGCTGAGAGCAGGAGAAAGTATTAAAGATCCTACAGAGGAGACATAACTAAAGCTCTCTGGTTTTCCTCCACCTGGTATAGGTAAGAATGACAAGTACAGTTGATGCCTATATAAACAAGGAAGCATTAAGAAGAGCATCTAATAGCAGAATTAAGGATGAGGGAAAAAAGGTATGTGCTAGAGGAATCTGTAATCTAGTAAGAATTACAATTCTCCTCCTTCACAATACTTTCTCACTGCTTAATTTATTTTTTACACCGACTTTTCCTGAAGTTTCTAGTATGTGATTCAAACTTTGTTTCTTTGCCTGTCTCAAATTTTGGGGGATAAATACTGGGCATTCTGGATAATATAAGAAATCTAGATACTGAGTTCCCCTCCTCTTTGGAGGCATGTTGTTGCTGCTTGCCTCATTATTTGTTTAGTGACTTGGCTGGAATGTGTGAAAGTGTGAAACTGTTAGTCATTCAGTCGTGTCTGACTCTTTGTGACCCCATGGACATTAGCCCATGAGGCTCCTGTGTCCATAGGATTTCCTAGACAAGAATACTGGTGGTAGCCATTCCCTTCTCCAGGGGATCTTTCCAACCCAGGGATCACACCTGGGTTTTCTGCATTGCAGGCAGATTGTTTACCTGAGTTACCAGGGAAGCATATATTCTGTTGTTGAGAAGTCTCCTTCTCTACAGCATGAAGCTTCTAATGTTGCTCCTCCGGAAGCACAGACTTGGGCAAAGAGTTACCTTTGATGACAGCTGTTTTTCCTTGTGAGTATCTTTTCCTTTACTTTTCTGTCAAGCTCTCTGCCTCCCTTAATATCACATCAAAGACCAAGGAGCAGTGTGTCAAATACCATTACACCAAGACAAGGGGCAGCAGTGTAAACTATGAGCTACACAACAAGATTAAAGATCAATATTTCACCAGAGTTACTGAAACTGTGCCAGGTATTTTAATGACTTAGAGGGAATTAGTAAGCAGAGAAATCTCCATTTTAATTCCATTGATAAAACTAGCTTTTCTGCTTATGCAAATACAAAGCAGCTATCTTTCTAGCCTGAAAAAGAAAGTGAATAGAATAATATTTCAAATGCTTCTGGCAAGCATATTCCAAACTTACCATAGCATTGAATTTCTAAGGATAAGTTTTAAGTGAATGAGTTTTAAAACTTATACTGTGTAGCTAATTTTCTACTGTTAGTAACTGCCGGAATTCCACTAATAATAGGAGTGTTAGGTAGTTAGAATAGAAAACAGGAGTCCAAATTGGTGGTGGCTAAAAGGGCAACCCACTTCAGTATTCTTGCCTGGAGAATCCCACGGACAAAGGAGCCTGGTGGGCTACAGTCCATGGGGTAGCAAAGAGCCGGACACGACTGAGCGGCTAACACACACAAAAGACAAGGAAGGGAAAATCCTGCAAAAATAGAACAAAGAAAGGTCAAAGGAAGGTCCGAGGACCTGCGTGAGGACTTCAGGTAGAACAGCACTCCTGGCTAAGCCCAATTTGCATAGGGCAGGCCCAGGGGGAAGAAAAAAACATATAAAAAGAGGAGCCAAAGGGCTCTCTCTCTCCTGCGCGCTGGGGTGCTTTTCTCTTCGTGTCTTTGGGTCGACATGCCCTCATGCCTGGAAGATGGATTTTCCTGCTATTATCTAAATAAAATAGAGCTGTGACACTGAGCTGTAACGCTGATTTGTCTAAGAGCTGTAACACGGTCCGTTCGAGACCTGAGAGCTAGAACAGGGTCTGTCCAAGACCTGAGAGCTGTGACACGCAGAGGGCTTTAGTGTCTGTCACCCCAAATCTTTGTGACGAGACAGAACCGAGCAGCATACACTCGCCTGATGAACTGATGAAACCACTGCGGCCTGTAATAATAGAATATAGGTACTATACTCATTTAGACACAAATTTAAACTCCAGAGAAGATAAATAAAGCAGAAATAGACTTGAAATACTCTTGTTCTTACCAAGATGGCTCTTGGATTTTGTCTTGATTTTGCCCTGTAGAATACTTCCAGTAGCTTCTGCATAGCGCTCTGTATGAGTCTCTATAAACAGTTTCAAAACACTTTTGTAAGGTATATATTAACATGTGTTTCTCTATGTGTGTAGTACTTCTTTAATTATTGTTTTAATATTATAGAACAGAATTAAAATGAAATGTCTGGATTGTAGTATCACAGGACCTTAGAATTGGAAGGGCTGTAAGCAATCACATAAGCCTCGTTATACTGAGGCTTTCTGCCTGCAATGCAGGATATCCAGGTTTGATCCCTGGGTTGGGAAGATACCCTGGAGAAGGGAATGGCAACCCATTCCAGTATTCTTGCCTGGAGAATTCCATGGATGGAGAAGCCTACAGGGCTACAGTCCATGGGGCCGCAAATAATCGAACACGACCAAATGACTAACACACAGAGAAATAATTTTGACCAAGGCCACATATCTAGGTAACAACAAAGCTGATCTATAAATTGATACTTCATAGTTCTTTAACCAGAGCTTTTTCCATAAAATACAAACTTTTTGCAAACAAAAGTCATCCTAGAGAGTTAATCTTAATAAATAGTGTGCACATTAAGAACACATTCACATGGTAAGGATATACCTGGTGATGTAGAACATAATATTTTTCCCCAGGGTCAAGATGCAAATGATAGGCATCATAGTCACAGGAAGTTACTGTGAGCCAGAAATTCTTTGACTTGTCCAGGAATATTTTTTTTAAAAGGTTATATAGCTAAGTCAAGTAAGCATCAGTGATGGGAAAGAAAAACAAGTAATTTGTGGACAGAGATAAAATACTCTCCCAGGTTCTCTTAGCACATAGACCTTCTCCCCTGAGGAGGAGGAAATGGGTCATTTGCAGGAATGTGAGCACTGGTACTGCATCCCTTTCCATTTGAGTCTTTACATGGTTTTTACTTTTTGCTGGATTCAGAAATGATGATCTATGTTTGGTATCAGAAAAAAAGTTATTTAAAAGAATTTTATATTGCGAAAGGAATAATCAGAATTGGTGACTCTGGGTCAACCTGTTAGGTAAAGTATTGGGTGGGCAAAATTTGGTTCTAATATAGCAAGTAAGTAAAGCTTGAACTTGTTACATCCAGAACTTATACATTATAAGTCTTGCTTTGGAGAACTGGCTGAGCCCATGAATATTTCAAGTGTGCACTATTACTGAGGCAGCACAAATTTATCACCACTGTAATCTAAACAGAGGCGAAGACCATGGGACATCATTACTAAAACTGAAGACATGCTGGATTGGGCAGAACAAGTTTTAGTAACTAAGTTACAGCATTTGTGAAAGTAATATGTACTGTAGCAACACAGAACTGGAGAACATTAGCAGACATACTTTAGCTCTCTTCTCTGGTCTTTCTCCAAAGATAAAATTAGAAGAACTGATTCACTTGATTTGAGAAAACAAAGGATCCTTAGGCAAGCAGGGAGGCAATAAATGATACAGAGCAGAGAAACCTAATCTATTAAGAGCCACAATTTTCTTCCTTCACAATGTTCTCCCACTGCTTTTAAGTTTTCTGTTTTTGTTTTTTAAATCCTACTCTGCTTGGGAGTTTGTTGAGCTATTTTTTTTTTAATGTAACATGATCCATTTTAAATGTTCATTCTATGCTTATTAGTATATTCATAGAGCTGTGTAATAATCACAGTCAATTTTATAGTCTACTTTAGATTTATACTAAACAGATGAAATTCCAGGAAGATGTAGAAATTTTTTTCATATTCTACATATATAGTTCTTTTTATAATGTAATTCTTACTATCTTTTTCCAGTTTTATATATGAAGCATGTAAAAATGAATTCATTTATTAAAATTGCTTTTAAATTATTTACATAATTTTGTGCTTTATCAAGAGAAGACAAAGGATGTATGTATAGCATTTATTATTTTCACCATTTTATTTATAATACCTGTTTTTTTGTCATTATTTAAAATGACATTTTCTGCTCTTTAATCCCTCTGCTGTCCATGCTATATTTCCATACTTTAAATTTGCTCATTCTTTCGATAGTGTAAAAATACTAAACATCTCTATTGATATTTTAAAATTTCAGTTATATTTTCAACCCCAATTTCTATGTGTTCCTTTTCAAAATGATATATTTCTCTTCATATATATTCCCTATTTGATGAAGAACTGTCATGAGATCTTCCTTCCCTTCTTAATAATGTTTACACTTAGTCCTTTGAACATATATATAATAACTTCTTTTTAGTTTCATTATTTAAGTACAATAGCTTGGATCCTCACAAGCAGTTTTTGTTGTATGCATTTCTCCTTGTTATATGTCACATTTTACTGGGTTTTTTTACATGACCCATAATTTTATGGTGAAAACTGAGCATTTCAGATATGCAATATAGCATCTCTGAATACTGACTTCCTTTTCCAAGGCATGTTATTGTTATTTTCTTGCTTATATTCTTAGCTATCTAGCTGAAACATTTTACTGAAGTATTCCTTTGCAGTTTGAAGGCACAACTACTGCTCCTCAAGGGAAAAATTATTGGATATAGTGGTTTTAGCAGTGCTGTCTTTTTTACATCTCTGTTATATGGTCTCTCTTTTGATGTTATCAGTCAGTTCATTCAGTCACTCAGTTGTGTCCGACTCTTTGTGACCCCATGGACTGCAGCATGCTAGGTCTCTCTGTCCATCACCAATTCCAGGAACTTGCTCAAACTCACGTCCATCGAGTCGGTGATGCCATCCAACCATCTCATCCTCTGTCGTCCCCTTCTCCCCCTGCCTTCAATCTTTCACAGCATCAGGGTCTTTTCCAATGAGTCAATTCTTTGCATCAGGTGGCCAAAGTATTGGAGTTGCAGCTTCAGTATCAGTTCTTCCCACAAAATCAAAGGGCAGTGTGTCTATCACTTTTATAAGAATAAAGGCTGTAGCACAATCTCTGAGCTACATTAACACAACTAATGACTCTATCACAGATGAGAAGGCTAATATGCCTGATAGTTCCATCAAATAGAGAGAAATGGTAACCAATGAATTAACTCTGTGTTAAATTCACCTTGTTATTATCACATTCATCAGGAAGACTTTCTCCTTTTCTATCTAAACTAGAAAGAGAGATTAGAATAGAATTAAATACACTTGAAGTGAAGTGGCTCAGTTGTGTCTGACTCTGCAATCCCACAGACTGTAGCCTACCAGGCTCCTCTGTCCATGGAATCTTCCAGGCAGGAATACTGGAGTGGGTTGCCATTTTCTTCTCCAGGGGATCTTCCCAACTGAGGGATTGAACCTGGGTCTCCTGCATTGCAGGCAGATGCTTTACTATCTGAGCTACCAGGGAAGCCAGGATGCATCAAGTATATTCCAAGTTTATTACAGCATTTCATTTTATGGTTTAATTTTTACATGGATCCTTTTGAAAAATCATATCTAGCTAACTTTTAGATTTCTAGTAAATACCATAGTACAACTAATTATGAGGATATTCATGAAGATTTTACCTATATAATAACAACATTCAAGTACTCTTATCATTAAAAATTCATACTCAAACTCCAAAAAAGGTAAAGAAACTATAAAGATCAGACTTGGAAAGATTAGACTTACCAGGGGGAAACTTGGTTAGGGTCTTATTTTCCACTATCTGTATATGTCTTCCAACAGTATCTTTCAAGTGTTCTAGATCAATTTCTATGGAAATAAACATACCAAAACACTTTGTAAAGTAACCCTAACATATGAGTGTTTCTCTTTGTATGTGTGTGTGTTCATGTGTGGTACTATCTTAATTAGCCTAGTTATTAATATGCATTATAATGGAATATTTTGGTTGCAGAATCATTAAACCTTAGAATTAGAATGGCTGTTAGCAATCATTAAGTCTCCATATATTGAGACTTAGAGACATTAACAATTTGACCAAGACTGTTTATCCAGATAATGAAAAACCTGATGCACAACCTTATGCCTTTAACCAGTGCTTTTTCCATACAGTGCCACCTCTTGAACTAAATTAAAATATCCTGGAGAGGTTATGATAATAATCAACTGTTAAGTTTAAATTAAAATCAAAATCATACTATAGGGATATATACTAGTGATATGGAACACATTTTTTTCCTCAGGCTATGTTACAAACTAGGGTCTCCATGGAAATTTACTATGGGGCAGAAATTCTTGGATTTTCCAGGAATATTTTAATACCCCTTTTATGTTACTTAAGCATAAACAAAGTAGGCATCAGTGATGTAAAAGAATATCAGAGTATGTTGTAGACTGAAAAAAACGTGCTTTCCTAGGTCCCTTTAGCATGTAGACCTGGTAGCCTGGAGGAAGAAATGGTTAAACTTGTAGAAGTACCTGGATTGAGACTGGGTCTCTTTTGAGTTTTATGTCATTTGAAATTTTTGCTTGATTTAAATTGCAACTAGGTCCAATTATGAGAAAAATACATTAACATTATTAAAGGAGAGTTTATATTGAAAGGAATAATGAGGAATGATGAACTACTGGATTTAAAATATTGTGGCTAATTTGTTTCTAGCAGAGTGTGTACCTGAAGTTAGAAACCTGTTACGACTAAGATGCCCAGATGGAAGTCTTTCTTTGGAGAATGTATGAGCCAGTAAATATTTAAAAGGTTGTGCTATTTGTGGAGAGGTGGTTACCTGCTGCAGCACCACCGCCAAAATGCAAAAACAGTGTGCCTGGTTAGGCAGAACAAGTTTTCCATAATTAACAACATTTTGTGAAAGTGATAAGATGTATAGCAAAATGAAACTGGGGAGTATTAGCAAATACATTTTAGTTTCTCTGGTTCTCTCTCCAAATGGTATACGTAACAAGGACTTGCTCATTTGCATTAAGGAAGCAAAGATTCCTTAGATAAGTAAGAGGCAATGAGGATAGCATCTGAGGGAAGGTTAGGTTAAGTACTATCAATTAAAAGACATATGCTAGCGAAATGTATAATCTAGAAAAGTCAGAGTTTTCTCTTTTATCATATCCTCCCACTTTTCAAATCCTTTTTTATTCTATTCTTCTTGACATTCATTGAGTTAGTTTTAAAAAATATATAATATATTATATAATTTTGCCCATTTAAAGTGTTCATTTCAATGTTTTAAAAAATATATTCAGTTATATGACCATCACCACAATTAATTTTAGAAGAGACTAGACAGTGTTCTTACCAAAAAATGAAAATTATATGACATGATGGAAGTGTTAGCTAACACTGGGGTGGTCATCATATTGCAATGTACAAATGTATCAACATATCATAAATGTTAAACACAATGTTATAGATCAATTTCTTCACAATAAAAAAAGAATATACATCAGAATTATGCTGAGTAAATTCTAGTAATTACAGTGAGGTATAGAAATGCTACCCTTTTATAGCATTATTCCCTCCTCTATATTTTTGCACCATTGTTACATATATTATAAATATAATAACTTATAACCTATAAATATATTCATTGCTTTGTTAAATTTATAATTATTATCTATGTATATGTTTTAATACTATCTTTTATAATGACAGAATTACTTTAACCCAGTCTCTTTTTTATGGGGTTCAGATTATGGGGTTCACTTGCTTTCAGCCTGAAGAACTTTCTTTTGTACTTTTCATAAAGTGAGTCTGCTAGCAATGAATTTTTTCAGCTTTTTATGTTTTAAAATCTCTTTACTTCACTTTTATTTTTTGAGAGGTAATTTGGCTGGATATAAAATTTGGGGTTTATCCCTTTTTTTCTTTTGCATTTTGGTCATCCTATTGCATTTCATTCTCCATAGTTTCTAATGAAAAGTCAGCCATCAATCTTATTGGAGTTCCCAATAGAGTAGAAATGGCAGTTTTCCAGAGTGTATATACTGATATATACTGTTACCAGCCGTTTCTGAAAGTTCTAGTTGCTCTACAATATTATCATGACTTGATTCTGTCATTCTTTGATTTAAACTCAATTATGGTATGTCATAAAATCCTCATGAATTTAACTCCAATTTTCTAGATTACTAATAAGACTGTACCATTTTCAAATGTTTATTAGTCATTTAGATACATTCTTAATTTGTTACAGTGCTTTTGATTTCTAGCATTTATTTTGATTATTTCTTAGAGATTTACTCTATGAATATATTACGTATATATTCTTTCATATAGTCTACATTTTTGCAAGGGCCCTTATTATATTAGTCATAGTTAAGTTAAATTCCCAGTTTGATAATGCCAAAATTTCTGCTATATCTGCATCTGGTCTTGATGATTGCTTTGTGTCCAGCTTGCATGTTCTGCTCTTTTAGCATGCCATATACTATTTTAAAGCTAGACATGATGTATCAGGTAAAATAACTGAAGTATACAGGTTTTTATTATGATGTTTTATGTTCTTCTGGAGAGGAGTTCAGCTATATTTCTGTTTTAATGTAGCAGGTGTCACAGGCTAAAATTTCTTTTATTTTCCTTTTCTGGTCTCCTCTGTGATCTTTGGTTTTCCCTAAGGAATACTTTAACGGGCCCTGAGCACTGCAGTTTTTCCATTGGTAACCCTCTGTTTATTAAGGGGCCTTAGTAAAGTAGTTGTAAGGTATGAGAGAGAGGGAAAGCATTCTATAAACCTATGATTAGTTCTCAGTCTATTATTTACACTTTCGTCTGGGATGTGACTTTCACAATTGCTTTTCAGCATGTTTACTGAATTAGATAAAATGGAAAGGCTAAAGAGGACTAGACTTGAATATCTCCCTTCCTTGATGCTGAAAGTTCAAGAGGTTAGATTCTGGCATTTTTTTTTTTTTCTGAACATCTGTCAGGTTCCAGTAAAGTAGTTTTTCTTAAAGGTAGGCCTGTGTTAAGAAGAATGCAACTTTAGATGTTCACTTTTCTCCCCTTTGCTGAATGCATGAGTAGATTTTATTTCTGATATTTATCCAAGGTACCTGAAAGTGTATGGTATATCCAAGGTTGTATTGAGAACTTTTTTATTGCTCAACCTAGTTCATGTCCAGTTTCCAACAATTATTGAATTACTCTTTAAGTTTTCCTACTAGTTGCTGGCTCCAGTGTTAGTTTGTTTCTAAAAATATGTAATTTCCAGTATTCATCTATCTCCTCAGTTTGAGAGGGGAAATTTGCTCTTTAACCTCAATTCTTTGATGGAACTGAGAAGGGTTGTTGACTTTAAGATTCTTTAGCTTTTTTTTGGTTTGGAGTGTGGGAATGAGGACTTCCAAGTTTTTTACATGTTAAACTGGTAAGAAGTTTTGCAAGTCTTTAAAAAATAATTATTCCTATATATTGTATTTGTTTAGTACTAAAACAAATTTCATCATCACTAAAAAATGTTCATTTTCAATTTTTTGTTCTTGGTATATGGAAATAGAATTGAGTTTCCTACAGTTTTATTCTATAGGCAGTAATTTTAATAAATACAGTTGATACAAGAGTTTATCTGTAAACTATAGATTCTTTTAGATTACATATCTCCTTACATTGTCTGAAATTTATGAGGTTTCTTTAAATCCTTACAACTTGCGCTATTAATTTTTTGTAATATCTATGGTTGCCAGTACAAAAATGAGTAGAAATAGTGATAACAAACATACATGTCTCATTCCTAATATTGAGGGAAATATTTTACCAGTAAATTGCTGAAATCTATTTGTATTTTTTAAAAGATAAGTGTCAAAGATATATTATGAGCAAAGTTTTGTTGAAGTTTAATGATTTTTTTCTTAATTCACTAATGTTGCAATGTTTTCCTATAATGCTTTTTATTCCTGTAAAGTTGGTAGTAATATTCCCAGTTTCTAGTCTGATTTAATAGCTTGAGTCTTCTTTCTTTATTATTCATCAGTCTAGTTAAACTTTTGTTAATTTTGTTGATATAATGTGAGTCTCTTATGGACTGCATATAGTTGGATAATTCTTTTCCATTTTGTCAATCTTGTCTTTTGTTTAGAAAGCTTAATCATTTACGTTTATGGTAATTAATGAAAAGGAAAGAACTTACTTCTGCCATGTTTCTATTTGTTCTCTGTATTTCTTACATTTTTTTCTTCCTCATTTCCTCTAATATTGCCCTCTTTCATGTTCAACTGATAGTTTAAGGGACTAGTTTTGTTTTTTTTCTCATTTCCTTTGTGCATATTCTATACATATTTTCTTTTTTGTTACTAAGAGAATTATGCATAACATCTTAAAGTTATAAAAATCTAATTTAAATTGATGCCTACTTAACTTCAATAACATCCAAAAGCTGTACTTCTTCCTATATGGCTCAATCCTTTTTGATACTGATGTTATGAAGCATATCTTTATACACTGTGTGCCCAATAATACAGACATATCATTACTTTTGTATATTTTTCCTTTAAACTATTATATGAAATTAAAAGTAGAACTACAAACTAAAACTACAATAATACTGGCTTTTATATTTGAGATGTACTTATCGTATAAAGCATATATAGCATATTAAAAACCAGAGACATTGCCAACAAAGGTCCGTCTAGTCAAGGCTATGGTTTTTCCAGTGGTCATGTATGGATGTGAGAGTTGGACTGTGAAGAAGGCTGAGTGCTGAAAAATTGATGCTTTTGAACTATGGCGTTGGAGAAGACTCTTGAGAGTCCCGTGGACTGCAAGGAGATCCAACCAGTCCATCCTAAAGGAGATCAGTCCTGGGTGTTCACTGGAAGGACTGATCTTGAAACTGAAACTCCAGTACTTTGGCCACCTCATGCAAAGAGTTGACTCATTAGAAAAGACCCTGATGCTGGGGAGGGATTGGGGGCAGGAGGAGACGGGGACGACAGAAGATGAGATAGCTGGATGGCATCACCGACTCGATGGACATGAGTTTGAGTAAACTCTGTGAGTTGGTGATGGACAGGGAGGCCTGTGTGCTGCGATTCATGGGGTCACAAAGAGTCGGACACGACTGAGCGACTGAACTGAACTGAACTATCTACACTGCAGATCTTCATTTCTTCATATAGCTTCAAGTTACTGTATAACAATTTGTTTCACATCAACCTCAAGGATTCCCCTTAGCATTTTCTATTCAGTTCAGTTCAGTCGCTCAGTCGCAGTCGTATCTGACTCTTTGGGCATGGGCATGACTCAAACTCATGCCCATCGAGTCAGTGATGCCATCCAGCCATCTCATCCTCTGTCTTCCCCTTCTCCTCCTGCCCCCAATCCCTCCCCAGCATCATTGTCTTTTCCAATGAGTCAACTCTTCACATGAGGTGGCCAAAGTATTGGAGTTTCAGCTTCAGCATCAGTCCTTCCAATAAACACCCAGGACTGATCTCCTCTAGGATAGACTGGTTGGATCTCCTTGCAGTCCAAGGGACTCTCAAGAGTCTTCTCCAATACTACAGTTCAAAAGCATCAATTTTTCGGCACTCAGCTTTCTTCACAGTCCAACTCTCACATCCATACATGACCACTGCAAAAACCATAGCCTTGACTAGACGGACCTTTGTTGGCAAAGTAATGTCTCTGCTTTTTAATATGCTATCTATGTTGGTCATAACTTTCCTTCTAAGGAATAAGCGTCTTTTAATTTCATGGCTGCAGTCACCATCTGCAGTGATTTTGGAGCCCCTAAAAATAAAGTCTGACACTGTTTCCACTGTCTCCCCATCTATTTCCTATGAGGTGATAGGAGCAGATGCCATGATCTTCATTTTCTGAATGTTATAGAGCAGGTCTAATGGTAATCTTGCTAACCCTAGAAGCTCTCCTATTCTTTTGGTTGGTTTTGTGCTGGGCAATCCTTCATATTTCTACAAAATTTTCTGACCATTTTGAAGATGACTTTTTCTTAACTGGAGAATCCTCTTGGTTGCTGTAAATATTTTATTGTTTCCCAAAGTTCTGACAAAGTTAGTTCTAATGGTTTTCGGCCTTTCCCTCTCCTCACCCTTTTTCATTGTTTCAGAGATTAAAAGCTTGGGGCCTCCTAGTCTATCATTTTTTCTGATATCTGCCTTAAAATGGCTGCTCGGAAGCTGCCAATGTTACACTTAAAATTATCTTATTAGAAATTAGTTAAATATTTAGTCACTTGGTCACACGAGCTTTAGCATAGGTTTTGTTTTTGGCTGTGCCACACAACTTGTGGGATCTCAGTTCTCTGACCAGGGACTGAACCTGGCCCGTGACAGTTAAAGTCCAGAATCCTAAGCACTAGGTCACCAGGGACTTTCCTAGCATAGGTTTTTTAACTATTAGACTTTTGTCAACTTTGTGATACAAAGGTCACAAAGTAGACATATTGCCTATCTAGTGATAGTTCTATTTTTTCATTGCCTTGTTATCACAACAGATGATAAGTAACAAAAACTGTGTTTTCTAAAGAACTGATCATATAGCATCTAATTTATATCATGAAAATTTACAATGTAGGGAAAAACCTTTTTTTTTTTCATAAGCAGGTAAACTCTTAAGCATTACCTAATTAATGTTTGTTTGATGAAGTAATAAGCAGATGATGAATTCTTTTAAAGATACATATTAAATTGATATATAGACTGTTTAATAAAAGAATAAAATTATTACAGCTTTCCCTTGGTATCCACAGGGGAGGGTTCTCAGAATCCCCTGTGGATACCAAATCCTGAAGATGCTCAAGTCTCTTGAGTAAAATGCTGCAATATTTTCCTGTAACCAATGAACACTCTCCTATATACTTTAAATCATTTCTAGATTACTTATAATACATAATACAATGAAAATGCTATATAAATAGTTGTAAATGCTATCTAAACCGCTGCCAGTGCATTAACCATTGTTTTTTGGAACTTTCTGAAAAATTTTCTTATGAATATTTCTGGTCTGTGGTCAGCTGAATCTGTAGATGTGAAACCCATAGATACAGAAGGCTGACTCAGATTATTAAACTGAGAAAGGTTACCTTATGTTTGAATATCTTATTTTAGCAACTGTACAATACAGTGGAAATGCTTTAACTCTTAGAATGTGTTCTCTATTGTACCAAAACATTATAAATCTCTACTTACCTATTACTTTGTTTAAATCTAATTGAAATATTAAGTCATCAATTGATGGATTCATTTCTGGAAGATTCTTTGCTATATCTGGATGTTCTGTGGTTGTTTCCCTTTTAACTGTAAGAATAATAGATTGCCAGATTAGCTAATGCATAACTAATATTTTGTGAGGGTAAAATTATACTACATAAAGTTAATTAGAGAGATGTTACCTAACAGTTCCCCTTCACGGCTCACACCCTTGTGGCAAAGAGGCTCGCATAACTCGGTGAAGCTATGAGCTAGGCTATGCAGGGCCACTCAAGATGGACAAGTCACAGTGAAGAGTTCTGACAAAATGTGTGGTCTACTGGAGGAGGGAATGGCAAACCACACTAGTATTCTTGCTGCGAGAAACCCATGAACAATGAGAAAAGGCAAAAATATATGACATAGAAGATGAGCCCCCAGGTTGGAAGGTGTCCAATACGATACTAGGGAAGAACGGAAGGGGATTACTAATAGTTCCAGAAAGAATGAAGTGTCTGGGTCAAAGTGGAAATGATGCCCAGTTGTGGATATGTTGGGTGGTAAAATAAAGTCCAGTGCTGTAAAGGACAATACTGCATAGCAATCTGGAATGTTAGGTCCATGAATCAAAGTAAATTGGACCTGGTCAAGCAGGAGATGGCAGGAGTGCACATCAACAGCTTAGGAATCAAAGATGTTGTTTGATTTAGTGAGTTAAAATGGAAGGGAATAGGAGAATTTAACTCAGATGACCATTATATCTACTACTGTGGGCAAGAATCCCTTAGAAGAAATGGAGTAGTCCTCATCGTTAACAAGAGAATCTTAAATGCAGTACTTGGGTGCAAACTCAAAAATGACAGAATGATCTCAGTTCGTTTCCAAGGAAGATATTCAACATCACAGTAATCCAAGATTATGTCCCAACCACTAATGCTGAAGAAGCTAAAGTTGACCAGTTCAAGACCTACAAGACCTTCTACAGCTAATACTAAAACAAGATGTCCTTTTCATTAGAGGGGATTGAAATGCACCAGGAGGAAGTCAAGAGATACCTAGAATAAAGGGCAAGTTTGGCCTTGGAGTATAAAATGAAGCAGGGCAAAGGCTAACAGAATTTTGCCAAGAGAACAGACTGATTAAACCAAACACTCCTTTCCAACAACACAATGAGATGACTCTATATATGGACATCACTAAATGGTCAATACCCAAATCAGACTGATTATATTCTTTGCAGCCAAATACGGAGAAGCTCTATACAATCAACAAAAACAAGACCAGGAGCTGACTAAGGCTCAGATTATCAGCTCCTTATTGCAAAATTCAGGCTTAAATTGAAAAAAGTAGGGAAAATCACTAGGCTATTCAGGTATGGCCTAAATCAAATCCCTTATGACTATACAGTGGAACTGTCAAATAGATTCAAGGGATTAGATCTGGTAGACAGAGAGAACAACTATGGATGGAGAATTGTGACACTGTACAAGAGACAATCCTGTACAAATGACTAAAACCATCCCAAAGGAAAAGAAATGCAAGAAGGCAAAATGCTTGTCTTAAGAGGATATACAAATAGCCGAGCAAAGAAGATAAGTGAAAGGCAAGGGAGAAAGGGAAAGATATACCCAAATGAATGAAGAATTCCATAGAATAGTGAGGAGGGATAAGAAGGTTTTTTAAATGAACAATGCAGGCAAATAGAGGGAAAACAACAGAATGGGAAAGACTAGAGATCTCAAGAAAGCTGAACGTATAAAGGGAACATTTCATGCAAGGATGGACATCATAGAGGACTGAAACACTAAGGACCTAACAAAAGTAAATAAAAGTGAAACTGTGGAAAATTCTTAGAGATGGAATTGTTAGAAATTCTTCTAATAAAAGTAGAAGAGATTAAGAAGAGGTGGCAAGAATACACAGAAGAATGTTACAAAAAAGGTCTTACTGACCTTGACAACCATGATGGTGTGGTCACTCAATTAGAGCCAGACATCCTGGAGTGTGAAGTCAAGTGGGCCATGGGAAGCATTATTATGAGATAATAATGCTGAGCTATTGAAGTCCTAAAAGATGATGCTGATAAAGTGTTGCACTCAATATGCCAGGAAATTTGGAAAACTCAGCAGTGGCCACAGGACTGGAAAAGGTCAGCTTTCATTCCAATCCCAAAGAAGGGCAATGTCAAGAAATGTTCAAACTACTGCACAATTGCCCTTATTTCAGATGGTAGTAAGGTTATGCTCAAAATCCTTCAGGCTAGGCTTCAGCAATACATGAAGCAACAATTTCCATCAAATAAATTGTGCACCTATGTTTTATTTGATTCTTAAGAAGCACAAATATAAATCAAATTTTCTGTTATACTAAGTCAAAAATCCAAATAAAAAATTTCCAGTCTTTCTAATGGACATGAGTTTGAGCAAACTCAGGGAGATGGTGAAGGACAGAGGAGCCTGGTGTGCTGCAGTTCATGGGGTCGCATATGGTTGGACACAACTTACTGACTGAACAACAATCTTTCTAATAATGTCCATTTTTCTAGAAATCCATTTTTGAAGCAAACATAAAAAATAGATAAATTTACTTAAAACATACACCAAAAAATACACTACTAAAGAGTTATAGTAGAAAATATAAAATATCAAGAGTAATGTCCAATAGATAAAAAACAAACGTTTCTCTTCCCTTCTTGAAACTATGTAACAATATTAAGAATAGCTCTACTGGATAACAACAAATATGTTTTAGCAGATAATAATCGCAAAGAGTCAGACACGACTGAGAGACTGAACTGAACTGAACTGAATGCTTGATAAGAACTGAAATGTAAATGCTGGGTAAATGTATGCTATTAAAAATGAAATAACTGCAACAATTCCATAAGTTTCCTAGAAAAATGTCTCCTAAACTTGTTCTCTATGAAACACTATTTCAAAGAAAGAGAAAGACAGTGTTTCTTGCTCAACAAATTTAAGAAATAAAGTATAATAATTAGAATATTAAATACTCCAAGAAAAGAGGGGTGCTAATAGCATTACAGCATTTACTAATTCTGTAGAACTTCAATTTCTGTTAAATTATGTTGTAAAATATCAAAGTTCAACTAACATAAAGTTGGTGCACATTAAAATGTAATTTTAAACTGTCAAGTATTTTATGATAACTTTTAAAATATGCATATCAGTGTAATTCATACTTCTCAATATCTGAGGCTGGTAAATTCCACTTAGTTGAGTTTTATCCTTGTATTCTTTAGTTCTTACTAGATCTTCAAGTGAAAATTTCTCATCTGAGAGTTCATCCACGTCTTGATCTACCAATATGAAGAAAACTTTCAATTAAATACAGAAACACTATTGAAACCTACACATTATGGCTTAATTCCAAGGAGATTATAATGTCTTTAGTTTAGGAAAATATTCTTACATCAATAAGAAGAGAAAAATGATTACTCAATAAATGTTTGAAGTTCATTTAACAGACTTCAATTTCTTCTCTTGATAAAACTCTGAAAAATCAGAATTACAGATTTATTCTAGACATTATTGTCTTAATATAGAATATATTTCTGTGTCAATCCAACAGCTAAGACCTTGATTTATGTTGAAGCACCAAAATATATCTCCATTAAAATGATAAACAAAATCAGAATGTGAATCATTATCATTTTAACAATTACCTAGTTCTGGTAAAGTTGGTATGACAAATATATGGATCAGCAATTATGATGATTTTCAGCTAATATTTCTTATATGTATTATTAAACATACAGATTTGTCATAAAAGTTTTTATATGGCAAAAAATCAAAATTGTAATCTTAACCTCAGTGAGCTACAAGAGAACACAAATAGACAACTAAATAAAATCAGGGAAAAAATACATATACAAACTGGGAAGGTCAACAAGAGACAGAAAATATAAAAGAACCAAATAGAAATTTTGGAGCTGAAGAGCACAATGACTGAAGAATTTAACAGAGAGCTTTTTAGTAGCACACATGATCAAGCAGAGGAAAAATACTCAGTGATCTCAAAGACAGGTAATTCGAAAACTACCATCTAGAACAACAAAAAGAAAAGAAGAATGAAAAAGAGTGAAAAAAAATGTCTATAGGACATACGGGATGGCATCAAGCAAATATATGCCAGATAGTTATTCCAGAAGAAGAGAATAAGAAAAGGACAGAAAGCATTTTCAAAGAAATAATGGCTGTAAAATTCCCAAACCTGAGGAAGGAAGTGGACATACAAACTTATGGATCCCAAAGAAGTCCAAATAGATTGAACTCAAAGAGATCTACACTGAGACATACACTTAAATTGTCAAAGGTCAAAGACAAAGAAATAATTTTGAAAGCAGCAAAAGTAACTTATTTCAGACAAAAGAACTTCAGTAAGACTACAATGGATTTCTAAGCAGAAAACTTAGGACTACAAAAGTGACAAAAACAATAAAATGGCAATACAAAGTCATTAACAACCAAGAACTACTTTAAACATAAATAAATTACACTCAAAAAACATGGGTTGGAGAATGAATGAAAAAATAAGATGTAATTACATGCTAACAATATGCAATTAAAATGCTATTAATAAAAGATCAACTTTAGATATAAGGACACACACAGGCTGAAAGTGAAGGGAGAGAAAAAGATATTTCAAGAAAATGGTAACCAAAAGAGATCAGAGGTGGCTATATTAGACAAAAAAGACTAATAGAAAGCTGCCCCAAGACACAAAGAAGGTCATTACAAAATGATGAAAGAATCAATTCAATAGGCTATAACACTTACAAATACATAAATGCATCCAATAATGGCTCACTTGAATATATAAACCAAACACTGACAGATCTGAAGGGAGAAATAGATGGCAAACAAGAATAGAAGGAGATGTTAATATTCCATTTACAATAATGGATAGATCATTCAGACAAAAAATATGTAATGAAGACTCAGTAAAGATAAGTAAACTCAATAAAGAAACAGAGGGCTTGGATTATTTGAATGCAAATGGACTTGAGATATCTACGGAGCATTCCACTCAAGAGCAGTAAAATAAGACATTCTTCAAAAGCATTCTTCTTCAGGACAGATCACATTCCAGGTCACAAAACAAATCTTAATGTGTTTAAAATTAAAATCATTTCAAGTATCTTATCTAACCACAGTGGGAAAAAAAACTATGAATAAATAATGGAATAAAAATGAAAGATTCACAAACACATGGAAATTAAACAACACAATCTTGAACAACCACTGGATCAAAGGAGAAATCAAAAGAGAAATTAGAAAACATCTCCAGAGAACAAAAATGGAAACACAATATACCCAAACATACAGGATGTACAAAAACAGTATCCAAGAGGGTAGTTTATGGTAATACACACCTAGATTAAAAGAGAAGAAATATCTCAAGGACCATAAGATTACACCCAAAGGAACAGTAACAAATTAATGTCAGTGTTATCAGAAGTAGGAAATAATAAAGATGAGAGCAGAAATAAATGAAATAGGGAACAGAAAAACAGTAAGAAAAAAATGATAAAACTAAGAGGTGATTTTTGGAAAAGTCACACAGAAATTGACAAACTTTTTAGCTAGACTGTCTAAGAAATAAAGACTCAAAGAAAATGAGAAGTGGAGGAGAAAACATTACAACTAACACCACAGAAATAAATATGCTATAAGGGACCATTATAAACAAGTATACACCAACATATTGAACAACTATGAGCAAAGGAATAAATTCCTAGAAACATACAGCCTACCAAGACTGAATCATGAGGAAACAGAAAGACTAAACAGACTGGTAACAAAGGAGGAGACTGGGCAGTAATAAAAAACCTACCAACAACAACAAAAAAAGCCCAGGACCAGATGACTTCATTGATGAATTTTACCAAACATTTAAAGAAGAATTAACAGGAATTATTCTTAAACTCTCCCCCAAAATACAAAAGGAAACACTTTAAAAAAATATATAAATTTATTTATTTTAATTAGAGGCTAATTACTTTACAATATTGTAGTGGTTTTGCCATACACTGACATGAATCCGCCACGGGTGTACATGTGTTCCCCAACCTGAACCCCCTTCCCACTTCCCTCCCCATCCCATCCCTCTGGGTCATCCCAGTGCACCAGCCCCAAGCACCCTGTCTCATGCATTGAACCTGGACTGGCAACCCGTTTCACATATGATAACATACATGTTTCAGTGCCATTCTCCCAAATCATCCCACCCTCGGCCTCTCCCACAGAATCCAAAAGACTGTTCTATACATCTGTGTCTCTTTTGCTGTCTCGCATATAGGGTTATCATTACCTTCTTTCTAAATTCCATATATATGCGTTAATATACTGTATTGGTGTTTTTCTTTCTGGCTTACTTCACTCTGGATAATAGGCTCCAGTTTCATCCATCTCATTAGAACTGATTCAAATGTATTCTTTTTAATGGCTGAGTAATATTTCATTGTGTATATGTACCACAGCTTTCTTATCTATTCGTCTGCTGATGGACATCTAGATTGCTTCCATGTCCTGGCTATTAAACACAGTGCTGCGATGAACTTTGGCGTACACGTGTCCCTTTCAATTCTGGTTAAGGAAACACTTCTAAAATCTTCATGATGCCAACATTATCCTGATTCCAAACCCAGACAAAAAAGCTACAAGAAACAAAAACTAAAGGTACTGACATTTCCTTAATGAAAATAGATACAACAATCCTCAACAAAATATTAGCAAACCAATTTTTGCAGCACATTAAAAGGATCATATACTACGACCTAGTGGGATTTATACAAGAGATGCAAGAATGGTTTGGCTTAACATTTGCAAGTAAATCAATCTTTCACACCACACTGACAGAGAATGAGGGATAAAATTGCATTATCATCTCAATAGATGCAGAAAAACATTTGACAAAATTCAACAAAATTCAATACTCTTTCACGATAAAAATCCTCAACAAACAGGCTTGGGAAGGAAGAAGAAAATTCCTGTGATTTGCAGATGATACAATTTTATATATAGAAAACCTCAAAGACTCAACCATGAAATTGTTGGAACTAATCAATGATTTCAGTAGAGTTGCAAGATACAAAATTAACATATGGTAATCTGTTGCATTTCTACATGTTAATGATAAAATATCTGAAAAAAACTAAAACTATCCCATTCAAAGTAGCATCAAAAACAATAAAATACTGGGAACAGCGACTTAACAGCATGGTTCAGACTCCATGCTTCCACTGCAGGGTGTGCAGGTTCAAACACTGGTCAGGGATCTAAGATGCTGCGTGCCACACAGTACAGTCAAAAATAAATTAAAAAAAATAAAATTCTGGATATAAATTTAACCAAGGAGATGAAAGATTTATACAATGAAAACTATAAGGCTCTATGGAAAGAAATGGAAGACATAAAGAAATGGGAAGATACCCCATGTATAAGTACTAAAAGAAAAATCTTGTTAAAATGTTCATATTGTATATCCAAAGTTATCTATGGATTCAACACAATCCCATAAACACATCAAAGGGGTTCTCCACAGAACTAGAAGAAAAAAAATCCTAAAATGTATATGCAATCACAAAAGAAATCAGATGATGAAGGCAATCCTGAGAAAGAACAAAGTGGGACAGTATATTCCTTGATTCAAACTACACTCCAAAGCTATAGCAATAAACATACTACGGCACAGGCACAAAAACAGACACACAGACCAATGAAAGAGAGCAAAGATCCCCAAATTAAATGTCCAGGCAAATTAAACGCTTGGTCAACTACTATTGAACAAGAGTTCCAAGAACACCCAGTGGGAAAAGGATAGTCTTTTCAACAAATTATGTTGAAAAAACTGCATATACGCATGCAAATAAATGAAATTGGACCCCTAATTTATGCCACTCACAAAATTAACTTGAAATAGAGCGAAGACTTATAAACATCAGACTTGATTCTGCTAGAGGAAAATGTAGGGAAGAAACTCCTTGACAGTGCTCTTGGCAATGATTTTTTTTTAATATATGTAACACCAAAAGCACAAACAACAAAAGAAAAACTTAACAAATGGGTCTACTTCAAAGTTAAAAGCTTCTGCACAGTAAAAGAAACAACACAATGAAAAGGCAATCAATGAAATAGGAGAAAATTTTAGAAATCATGTATCAGATAAAGGGTTAATATCTAAAACAGACAGATTTCATACAGCCTAATAACAAAAAAATCAAACAATCCAATTTTTCAAATGTGCAGAAAAACTAAATACTTTTCTTAAAAAGGCATACAGATGGTCAACAAGTAT